AAATTTTGTATGAGCGTTTTTTTTCCTTGAAAGTACGTCTACTTATTACAAACACCCATCAGAACCATTGAGGAATAGACAAGCTGGATGACATCCATCCTGTTCTTCAGCCTCAGCTGGAAGCTGAAGCAGCAGAAATGGAGTCAATTTCTTCTACAACTCCTCCAGCGTCAGTGGCAACTCTTCGAATAATAAAATAAAAAAGAACTCCTGATATCTACCACATAAAGAAGCTACCGCTTGATATCAATCGTCGGCCCCGTGTGCGTGCACTATCTCGCTAACTCTGTTACGGGGCTCCACACGGGCCAGCCAGTGATAATCAATGCTGGCAGTTGGTGTGAAGAGATGCTTCTTCTTTCACAGAAACTGAAACAAAAAGCAGACTTACAGACCAGTGCTTGAAGTTATTAAGAAACTATTCTGAAAACTATCTGGGAGGGACTGAAAGCTGAGTGCTGATACCTGCTCCTGAGGAGAGGCGCAGTTCCTGATTGGACAAAAGTGTTAGAGGAGCACAGCAAACCAAAGCCTTTACCAGAACACAGCGACACAAACACACACACGCGCACACACTCACACAGAGAGCGAAGTTTATCTCAACTCCGTGTGTCTATAATGGACATTGCTTCCAATGACACTTTGTTAAGCCATCAACCACCAATAAATGTGCTTTTGGAGAAAGCATAGATGAACAGCAGGTTGCTTTTTTTCGAACAGAAAAATAAACCTCCACGATAATAAAACATTCAGTGTAAAATTCAACCATTTTGCTAGTTTCCCTGGTTGCATCCCTTGGTTAGAGATCAAAAGCATCGAGGTAGGGTTAAAAAAAAACAACAGCAGCTAAAGCTAAACTGAGCCACAATACTGTCCCGGACGGCGCTTTTAGCCTCAACCTGGAGTCGTTACCACATGTACAAGAGGTTACACACTCTTTGGGGATAAAGAATAAAAAATCTCCCTCAGATGTTTGCAGACAGACGCATTTCAGCGTGACAAAATATCCTTAAACTGACAGTTTAAGGTAAAGCAGGGCCTGCTGTGTACACAGAATCCGTTCATTTTTCTTTCTCTTCATTGTTATTTCAAAACAGTAAAAGCAGGAAATACAAAAGTTGCTAAACTTATTGAAGAAACGTGTCCTCGCTGCTGCTCTCCAGGATCTGGAGTCGAAAAGGGCAAAAGCAATGGGCGAATTACACCACGGACAGGCGCTTTTTGAGAAAGCCGCCAAAAAGAAACACCTGAATCTGTTATTCAAAAGGCAGAAAGAGGTCTCATACCAGATCACACAAAACTCTCAATGGCCTAAAAAGTCTGCTCTGAACTGTAATGCAGGGACAAGAGCAGAAAAACTCACACAGGGCAAACACAGGAACAAGACAAGAGAATTACTTGTGCTTTGAAGAACACATTTCCTCCGTTAGGTCCCAGAAAGCCCCTCCGTGGTGGAGCTCCCGGGCTGGTGCAGGACCAGAGGCCTCAGACGGACACGGAGCAGGTCAAATGGCTGCTGTTTCTCCAAATGTCACACACACCCAGAGATGGGGAAGGCTCAAACCTCACCGGTGTGCCGTAGGTCTGCTGTAAAATACATATTAACCATGAACAACCGGAGAAATGCTGCCACCTGAAACTTTGATGTCAAACGTATTAACCGTGCCTCTCGCTTTCGGAGTTATTCCACCGTGCGGAGGGATATATTTTATAATTAGGGCGACGTGCCGAGATGAGATGCAACAATTGTGTCAGCCTTTTCCCGTTTTTGAAATGGTAACTTTCAACGCTAGCTGGGAACAAGAACCAAACCGGCCCGAACGCTGAGCATCACTCGCCGTGACGTTAGAGCCAGAAAGGGGGACAAACAGACGCCGTCCCCAGTTCGCGGGGTGTCAGATGTTAGCTACCTTCAGACGTAAACAGCGACCGAAGCAAGCCGACCCGGGAGGGCTCCACTCTCCGCTGGCAGGGGACGCTAAAACTCCGCGCTGGCAAGCGGCAAACAGAGGACGAGACAGGACTGCGCCGTAAATATCCGAGGACGGTCGGCGCAGTCATTTTACATCGCCACCGATCCCAGAGCGCTGGCGGACGGGCACGTTGGTAGTTGTTATAAACTCACGTAGCGAGGATATGAGCAACCAGGTTCCATAGTGTAGCGGTTATCACGTCTGCTTTACACGCAGAAGGTCCTGGGTTCGAGCCCCAGTGGAACCAAGTTTCTCTTTTCGGACGATAAACTCTTACAATTACTGAAACAACAATTCTAAAAACAAAAGTCAAAAGAAATCCACTCCTATATAGTTTTGAAAATGAATATAATATATATTAATTCTGCAAAAAGCACTGTCTCTAAAGTAACTATTAAATGTAAATTGAAAATTACACATTCATTTTTTTTATATGTGAATGTTTACAGTTATATCTGTTCAAAGTTTTAAACTGGAATGCATTTAAACTAAAATGTGGGAATATTACATTTTCATTTCAATAGAAATAATCTAATTCAACACCACCGTAACCTATTTAAGAAAAAAAAAAGTCACTTTCTGCTTTTCCTCAACCTATTTTTTGGTAAATTTGTTGACCAATTCAACTGACCAATTCAAATTTGTGTACAATATTTGTCTCCCCCCTGTTTATATTGAATGGCGTCACAAAGATTGTTTTCCATATGCATTTCCACCTGTCTTAAATCTACAGTCTGTGGTACCTCGTTTATCAATACGACAGTCAATCAGTCAAAATGTGGTTAGCTGATTTGCCATTTAACTAGGGAAACTAAAGAAAGTGACAAAAACACTATGAATCAAATGATGGACACAGCGAAATGACTGTCATTCAAATCGGTCAGGATATGAGATCTGATGCATTAAAACAACAAACAGGGCTGCTGTCATTACAGCATCTCAATAATTTAAATGTAAAGATTTCCTTAGTATTTTCATCCTGAGAGGTTTTGGAGCAGATAATTAAGGGGTGAAAGCAAAGCATACATTAACTTACTGAATCCTGAATAAAAATACATCATGTAACCTGTCATTTATCGAACACACTCAACTATTCATCATTTCCGCACACAGGGTCTCTGTTATGGGCTAAAGTAAACATCAGAATAACACAGAACAAAATATTAATGCAACTAAAATGAAAATATCGCAATCAAACTCAGACAAGCAAATGATTAGAACAATCTATGCTTCCACACATTCTCAGATAAAGCCGGAAAAAATACCAAATCAGCTCCACCACTCACGACAATACTAACGCAAACCATTGTTGGGTGTTTTCGTTCGGTATATTTTTAACCCCTCTCTGCTTTTAAGATGAGGTTTTAGGCATTACCCTGCAACAGCTTATAGTTAGGGCTGTCCCAGTGACCCTGAACTCGCCTGCTGTTACGTCACCGACCTGCCGTGGTATCTTCAGCTTATTGTGCTTTTCAGTCTCTCTCTTGCTGTCCTTTTTTTTTTTTTGTTCATATAAACTTGCTGGTCCCTGTTTGAAACAGATGGCTGCCCTTTCTGAGCCTGGTTCTGCCAGACACCCCAGCCTCTTAAAACTGAGCTTTTTCTTACTGGCTGCCAAAACGCTTCCTCAACAGGAATTATTTGGTTTCTGTTTGTAAAGTGCCCTTTGAGATTAGGTTCTGCTGTACATGTGGTCGATGGAGTTTTGTTCTTATATGACCTATTTTCATCTCTAACTGAATGAATATCCTAATAATTAAAGAGGATAGTCACCCCTGGCAGTGTACAGGCCAGCCTATTTAACTCAGGTTTAAAAGTCTCTGCACCCTGAAAGCAAACGTGGGTAAATGTCTTTCCAGAAATCAATAAATTCACATAATTCATTTTAAGGATATGACTTAACAGGTATTAACTTTTGGCTAAATGTCTCCTGATATTACCAACAGCACTTTTAGTCAACTGAGACACTTTTTAAGAGCAGATATGAATGTTGAAACATACTCACCAAATCTTCTGTTGTACAAAAACTGGAGGGTCTCATTAACTGATGTTCTTTTAACTTAAATACTTCTTTTTAACCTTCCATGTTTTGTTTTGTTTTGTTTTGTTTTGTTCTGCGGCGTGGCCAACCGTCGACAAGTTTTATGTGCGCTTACACAGTGAGTATTACGGTAGTATATTTTATATTCATAATGAGACAAACTATTAATATATAGTCAAGTGTCACAGTCACATGTTCATGCCAGAAAAAATAATATATGACACAAGTAGTTTGCTTTGTACAGCACCCTTAGTAAAAACTGTGTGACAAGACTCTGACTACCAAATTGAGCTAAGACTTTTTGTTTCCTCTGTAGACTTGCCGTCTAAACTAAGACTTGTCTGTGGTAGAACAAACTGCACAATTCATGGGTCTTTCATTTTAAAACACTATCAGATTCAGAGATACTGTGAGGGTCACTTCAGAGGTCAGCTCTCAAACTGATCCATGAACACAGTGTTTTTATTTGAAAACTGAGGAAATACATGCCCTCGAAAAAAAACAAAAAACATATTGTTGGCTTAAGAATGATTGAGGATCCCTCTCATAAAGTGTTCTTTCTTTTTAAGGTTAAATCTGTTAAAACAGATTCTTAAAAAAAAAAAAAAGATAGCCCTGAAGAAGGAACTTTGAATTGGCATACCACAAATATTACTTACAACAGGGATCAAACTGAGACAGTTTTCACCGATACTGGGGAATGTGACCCAGACGAATCCCACACATACTTAAAACTGCACTTTAATGTGAGTACCGTAACGTCTAAAGTATGCACGCACAACTCTAGGCAGCAGTCGTGTTTTACGCTGTGATGGAAACGGAACCCCACAGTCAGTTTAACACCTGTTTTCTGTCAGTCTCTGTTGGTCATTTTCTTGCTGCAGTTCCCATTTCTTTACAAATGTATTGCTCATTGCAAGTTAATTCAATTTAATTCATAAGTTAATAAGCGTGAAATACAGGAAGATAATGAAATGTCGGTATAGTTTGAGCGTGGTCCTCCTTTCCAAAAACGGATGTTGTCTTTATCTCATATCCGGGTGTTGCATAGATTTCTGTCCCCAAAATGGCGAACGTAGCTACCGCTGCAGCGGTTGCTGCCGCCGCAGCTGCCGCCGCAAATAGAGACCCAGCCGTAGATCGGTCATTACGATCAGTGTTTGGTGAGTGTGTTTTTACTATTTTCCAGCACAGGGTTTTTTTGTTGCAGGGGGTTCATTATAAGTTGATAAAGAAACAGCTGAGGTGTGAAAGCTAACAAGTGTCCATGTCCGGCTAGTGCTGTTGTTAGCTAAACAGCGAGGGACAAAACTAAACGTTTACGTAGCAGGAAAATGTGTAACAAACGCTTAATAATACATGTATTATTGTCTTATTTGTTGGTATGTAATATTTATTTTAGTGGGAAACATTCCGTATGAAGCCACAGAGGAACAGCTGAAAGACATCTTCTCTGAGGTCGGACTGGTTGTCAGCTTCAGGTACACACAAGCTTTCATGTCCTCAAACGCGTTTACCTCTAATTCTAGACAGATATTCTTGTCCATCAGCTCACGCCATGTGACCTCGTGTTCTCAGGTTAGTGTATGACAGGGAGACGGGGAAGCCAAAGGGATATGGCTTCTGTGAGTATCAGGACCAGGAGACGGCCCTCAGTGCCATGCGGAACCTGAACGGGAGGGAGTTCAGCGGCCGCGCGCTCAGAGTGGACAATGCAGCCAGTGAGAAAAATAAAGAAGAACTTAAAAGTAAGTATTTGTTGTTGGCTTTTCTGTATTCTGTTATTTTATTTTTTTATTAGTCTGAGAGGTGTTTCTGCAAAGCAACATCTCTATTTGTCTCTGAAAGGTTTGGGGACCGGAGCCCCCATCATTGAGTCTCCTTATGGGGATAATGTTCAGCCGGAGGAGGCCCCGGAGTCCATCAGCAGGGCCGTGGCCAGTCTGCCGCCTGAGCAGATGTTCGAGCTGATGAAACAGATGAAGGTGAGCTGCACTGGGGCGCCGGGGCGACCTCTTCGTGGCTGGTAAATGGACGACTTTTATCTGATCCTCTGGATTGTTGAACCACCTCTGGGGCATGTTGATCTGGGCTATTTGATGAGCCTGTTTCCCATAGTCACGGGAAACAAGAATTACTGGGGTGCTGGTTGCTGGTCATTTTCATTCCCTGTCATTAACAGCTGCAGAGCAGCTTAATGCCGTTAGTTAATCATGGATGTGTAGGTTTATAAGTGTAGGTTTTTTTCCTAACTTCTAAGTGTGATGTGATTCTGATCTGGGCCGCGTTTGTCTCCAGCTGTGTGTCCAGAACAGCCCGCAGGAGGCCAGGAACATGCTGCTGCAGAACCCCCAGCTGGCCTACGCCCTGCTGCAGGCTCAGGTGGTCATGCGAATCGTTGACCCTGAGATAGCGTTGGTAAGAATGCCTAGACGGGTTAAATCCTGACATTTATCTGACCGGAACATTGGTCAGAAGCTGTGAACAAAATCCTGCGTTTCAGGACAAAGGCAGACGTTTTCATATTTGAGACACGTTTTTTTTGGTCTTTTTTTTTTTTCCTGGACAGAAAATGCTCCACCGTCAGTCTACAGTCCAGTCTCTGATTCCTGGCGGTCAGGGTGGAGGGGCACCGCCCATCAATCCCGCTGCCGTTCAGGCCAATGTGCCGGTGTCCCAGCCACAGCCGGTGGTAAGAAAGAACCTCCATCCTATGAACACTCGGGCTTCATTCTCCTACGTTAGCCTTTGGGTTGATGCGAAGCCGTTTCAGCTGTGTGAGAGCAAAACCAAATGTAAATCAATTAAAAAGTAAATGAATGGAAAACGGAGCACAGAAAGGGCCAAACGGAACTATTACATTTGTCGATATACTTAATCCGCCCATCAGGGTCAGGATTCCACATCCTGTTTACTGTGAATCTACCAGAAAAAAGCAACCTCTAATATTAATACTGATCAGCTGCTGGGTCCAGAGTGGGGGGGGGGGGATCCAAAGATGTACTCCTCTAATTAGAGCACTGCTGTGTCAGGCCAACTACAGTAAAGAAGATTTTCATTGATTTTTCATTGAATATCCTTCCAACGGGCTTAATGTGATTAAAATGCACCTCAATTAGGACTGAGCCCCCACTAATGAGCTAGAGGGTTTATGTTTATCATTCAATTTTCCTATAAATTTTCTATTATTGTTATTATTTTTTCCAGCAAACGTCAAAGTTAATTTAAGAACTGCATCCTAGATGCTCACAGTCGCGTTAACTGTGTCCATCGAGCTTCCAGACAAGAGGAGGAGAGAAAAGTGATCTCGTTTGTGTTTGCTTCGTGTCCCCATCAGCCCGGCATGCACGTCAACGGAGCGCCCCAGATGATGCAGCCCGCCAGCATGGGGGTCGTGCCGGGACCGGTGCCCGTGCCCGGGCCGGTGCAGGGACCGGTCGGACCTCCAGGTAGTGGCCACGCTTTTGTTTTTCGATGTGAGGCGTTTAGCTGACTGTGCACGTTTCCGGGTCCGTTTCTGTGTTTTTTAGAGCAGCGTTTCCGACCCTTATAGTTTCATCAGTTAGCAGATAGATGACGGCAAAAAATGTTCAGTGTTTCCTGCAGTGGACCCAAAGTATTCAGACCCCTCGTTTCAATAGCATTTAACTGTAATTTTGTGTTAATTAGTATCCAGTCATTAAGAGATTCTGACCCAGTCCGATGATTTTAGGAATGTTGAAAAGGAGAACATGCAGATCTGAGTTTTAGTTTTGATTATAGGCAAATCTGGAAGAAGCCTACCGTCGTTAAGCTGTATTATCAGCTTAGCTTTGTTACTAATTCATCCAGCGTTACCATGGCAATCCATGCAGCGGCATTACTCAGCCCAAAGTGATGCAGGAGGGCCGTCGCCCCCGTGGCTCCGGGGCTGAAGTGCGTTCTGAGGCTCTTTAAGACGGACGGAGGGTCCTCTTCCTCCAGCTCTTGAACAGAATAGGGCCTCCACCATGGATTTGAAAATTCAGCCACTGCGGCGCCCGGGCGACAGCGTCACGCCGCCGTGTTGTTGGCGTGAGAAAAACCGAGCCGACCTTACCGAGGCGGGGCCATCTGGCCGACAGCTGAAGCTCCGCCGAAACGGAGAGACCCCGAACGCAGCAGCAGAGCCACCGCAGGACGGCCAGATGGCCCCTTTATGTCCCCATTTGTTAAACTTTTAAAAACCGAAATAGAGTCTCCCGAAGGGGGTGAGGGGAAAAAAGCCGGGAGTCTGTTCAAATGTCTGGAAAATAGACGCGATTAGAGCTTCTTTTTGATCTTAACTGCCTTCAGAAATGCTTCCTTTTTGTTTTGCTAAGGAAAAACGGCTAAAAATTGAATCCACAAGGCAGTAAATCTCGGTAAAGACAAAGGGGTCCAAATACTTCCTGAACATGTCACTAGGTGTCAGTAGAGCCTTTAGCGTTCGTCACCGGAAAACCCTTTATAGACTTGTATCGTGAAGAAGGTTCAGACGACGTGTTCTCTGTGTTTCACCGCTCTTCCCTTTTTGAAAGCCCCCCTCCCCCTCCCTGAGCCCCGTGTGTCCCTGTCTGCGTGCATGCGGTGATTTCATTAGCGCCCCCAAATGCTGCTCCGCTCTCTTGAGTCTTGTCTCCTGTTCTTCTCACTTTAATGCTGGCTCAGGGAACCTCCAGCATTCCCCCACAGGATCGGCCGGTCCAGCTGCCATCGAGCGGCCTCAAGGTACCGCTGTCCTCCCATCAGTTCAGTTCTCCCCCCAGCCGGTCGCAACCCCCCCCCCCCCCCCCCCAATGTAGCCCCCGGTGTTGGATTTTCAGTTTTTTATTTTTTTAATGCATGTTTGAGCCTTTGTTCATCACACACTCCGTCCATACAGTCGCCATCCAGCCGGTTTGTGTCTAGATTGTCACTCCATAGCAACAGCTAAAGGTCACGAGAGAGGTGGAGGAGAGTTTTTCTTCTTTGTGTTATTTTTTTTAACGGTTTCAGGTGAGCTGATTTTGTTTTCCTGCATATTTCAGTGGGTGAGTAGTGAGAACTTGGAGGAATGACTCCTCTATAATTTGGACGAAAATGTACTCTGTGAATGAAAGAGGCACGGGAAGATCAAACATTTTGATTGTAATCTACATCCAACATAAAACCCATAAAAAATAAGTCTCTGGTCAAACCAGCTTTAGGTTTAAAACAAATAAAAATTCCAACAAGGACATTTTAGTTTGTTTGAGAGAGGGAAAAACCATGAGCCGCAAAACGGCTTTAGGTGTAAAACTCAGAGCCCGATGTGAAAAACCTGGTAGAGAGACGGATGTCCGAGAGCCTTCATGCAGATTTCCGTTTCCCCTGAAAGCCTCCATTACTCCGGCCCGCTCCACAGAGGGGTCTCTCCCTTCAGCGAGGCAGAAAGAGGCCCGCAGCAGAGCCCCGGCTCGCCTCTGGCTGCTGTGGTGGATGCTGAGGCCACATGTTCTGTTTTTAGCCACGATGCTGTTGCCATGGCTCTGGTGGAGAATTTGGGTCAGCGAGTCTGAGGGGTGGCGATTCAGCTCCACAGAGCCGGTGGAAACACACCGGGGGAAATCAGACGGGGGGGCTTTTTTTGTTTTGTTTTTTTGGACGAGACAATCGCTCTAAAAATGGAATTGAAAAGATTCTTGACTAGAAACAAAAACAACCTGGAAAGTTTGTGGGTTAAACATGAATCCACATTACTTTTTGTCCATTCACCCATTATTTCGGTAAATTAGCTAATGTTTTGACCCCGACTCTCTTCTAAAAGTATTTAAAAAAGGTTTTTCTGTGGATATCGGCAGTTTTTTTTATTTAATTTTGTGATGCCGCTTAATGCATGTTCAGACATAAATCATCAACCAAACAAAAAAAGCCATTTTAGTACCCACAAGCTGCATGCTGTTTTGGACGTGCAGGTTGTCAGCTCTGTTCGTTTATTTGGGCGTGTCCTCGGCGAGTTCAGTAAGTTCCAAAACAACCCTGTCCGCTGAAATATTAATCCTGCAGCCGCACCTTTTTTGTGTCTGCGTCAGCCTGGAATTTCAGCCTATTTAGAGCTGCCAGCAGCTTTGATAGATTAGGCTTGTTTTCTGGCCTGTGAGTCGTTTTGTGTGTGTGTGTGTGTGTGTGTATGTTATGATAACGTGGGATTCCTCCTCCCAGGACCAGGTGGTATCCCCCCCAGAGGGCTGCTGGGAGACGGTCCCAACGACCCCAGAGGAGGCACCCTGCTGTCGGTCACCGGAGAGGTCATTGACCCCAAGTAAGGCCCTCACCTGCTTTAACCCAGCAGGTGCGGCTTTAAGACGCAACTCCACAGAGGCCAAGATTCCAGGGAGTGCCAAAACGGCCCCCAGTCTGGCCTGTTTTGAAGGCGTGAATGTCCGAAATGCTGTTAAAACGCTGGATGACAGAAACCGTGAGCAATAAAAGCTACAAGGGGGACGCGTTTCCTGGAGAGAAGCTGCCGGTTTTAGACCAAAACCCTCCAAATCCGGAGCTACCAGATTAGTCTGATGAAGATGTAAGGCTCTGTTTCTGTGTGTGTGTGTGTGTGTGTTCAGCCGGCCCTACATGGCAGCTCCGCCTCCCCACCAAGCCCCCCCTGTGCACATGCAGCCGATGGGAGGCGGACCCCCGCCCGATATGAGGGGGCCTCCGATGGACATGAGGGGCCCGCCGATGGGCGAGCCCAGAAACATGATGGTGGACCCGAGAGCGCCCCCCATGATGGAGCCGCGCGGACCCCCCATGGAAACCAGAGGTAGTTAGATTCTCTGAAAAATCCGCCATCGTGCGCCCCCCCCCAGTCCTCCTCTGTTGGGTCTCAGACCGGTACGGTTGACTTCTCTCCTCAGGCCGCGACCCCAGAGCCATGGACGCCCGCGGGCCAGTGACCGGTCAGAGGGTTCCCATGGCGGCGCCGATGCAGGGCCCCGTCCCACACGGCATGGGGCCCAACGCCCCCCCACCCGCAAGAGCGGTAAACATCTGCCTCCCCCGTATTTTCCTACACTCGACTTTAGTCCTTAAAATTCGGCTCATGACTTCTTACTCAGACTTATGACTTATGACCTTTATTGTGTTTGGTGAGGGCAGTTTTATTAAGTGGAATTTGCTCCCTTTAAAAAAAGGAGAGAATTTCTTGATCCCAGTCAGAGCTCGCTGTCTTTTGTCCTGTAGGGTCCGGGCATTTCTGGCGTTGCCCCGTCGGGGGGGGGCTTCAGCCCCGGGCAGACTCAGGTGTCCACGCAGGACCAGGAGAAGGTGAAGTATCAAACGTCTACAACAAATAATAGCAACAAGCTGCCGTCCTGTTTCTTCCTTTTAAAGGGACAAAATCATTTACCGGTATGCGTTATGTCATTTTTTATTTCCTGTCCCTCCCCAGGCCGCCCTGATCATGCAGGTGCTGCAGCTGACCCCGGAACAGATCGCCATGCTGCCCCCGGAGCAGCGGCAGAGCATCCTCATTCTCAAAGAGCAGATCCAGAAGACCGCCAGCGGCGCGCCGTGAAAGGGCGCGGGCCCAAAATGGCCGCGCCACTCCAGACAATTGTTCTGTTGTCATTGAGCAACTTCATTTCTATTTCTGTCGTGTTTCCGATGCCTCGCCGTCGTACGAGAACCGGCCTGAATGCAGCCGAGGGCGTCTGGTCTTAACTCAGATTACCGTAGTTTCGTTTGGCCTCTGTTTTTGTATGAGAATAAAGCTGATCCACGCAAATAAAGATTAAAAAAAAAAGATCTTTAAGAAGGTGACGTCGGTGAATGCCGATGGGAAACACTCGAATGTTACGAGGTTTCATCTTTTTCATGTTGTGGCTCTCCAAGCTGTTTTGTCAATAAAATAAATGAATACTCACATTAGTTTCATAGTTGTTTTTTTTTATTGTTCCAGAGTAGTTGGGAGTAAACAAGAAGAAATTTTAGAAAAACATGACATAAGACAAACAAATTCAATTTGGATCCTTAGGAAAGATTAACTTCATGTTACACTTAAACCAATTCTTTCCTGGTTTACCTTCATGTCTTCTGTTCAGGAAATACTGACAAAATTACAGATAATAAGGAAATGTCAGTTACCAGGAAGCCAGTTTCCTTCAACTGGAAACCTGACAAAAGCTTAGATCATTGATATCAGACATTTGTTCAGAGCTCATTTGTATATTTACAGTTTTTCACCAAAGGCAAATTATGGGAAATTTAAATATATTTTTAGTGCTTTTTAAAAGGGAAAAATACTGAATGTAAAGATTCAAGAAGAAACAGATTATTTTAAATCATATTTAAGTTGAACCTAATTTTCCCCCCCAACAGAAAACACCCTGATTTTAATGCATTTACTTTTTGTAACAGTTAACCGGGCTTGAGCAGCCCAAAATAATACAACAGATCTACAGTCATTATGACTTACTGTTATGATCCACAATGATTTACAGTAACGTGGGGACAAAGAGGGTCAAACTTTGAACTGTCCCGATAAGGACCTCATGCTTGATCAGAGCAGGAGCAGCGTGGACGTTCACTTCCTGTGGAACAGGTTGCCACGTAGCTTCACAGCCCTCAGTCGCCTTCAGATAATCTGCCATCAAACAAACCGTGCTCGTCCCCCCCAGTGAGTTTTTCAGCCGTGTGGCTCAGAAGTTCTCCTTGTTGAAGTAAAACTTGGTCTTGCGAGGGTCCACGTCCGAGTACTTGCCGCATTTCTTCTCCAAAACTTTAGCCAGAACCACAGGGCCGCACAAGAAAGTTCCCACCACAGACCTGAAAAAGAGCCAGGACAAGTCGGATATTAGACTCCGAGGCCGTCCCCAGCTGAGGCCGCATCAGTGCTCATGGTCAAACCCATTTAGAGGCACAACTGCAGCACATAACAAAGAGACTTTAGAGCCGCACAGACCGCCTTTAACCTAAAAACAAGGCGGTCCCAAACCCCATTCTGCACAGGTGCTAAGACCTGCCCCATCTTCTTCCTTTGGGTTGGACCTGTTAAAGGATTCCACTACAGTGTTTTACGAGCGTCACTCATCCGCATTCTTGCGTTTAAACTGAGGCTAAATGTTGTTTTGAGAACCTTTTAAAAGGAAAGCTTTTCACTTACGCCGGGTTCTCTTTGCGGACTTGCTCGAACTCCTTGTCCCAGTTGGGCCGGCCGTAGTTCGTTTTCTGTCTGAGCCCCGTGATCACGTCTATGTCCTTGTCGTAATTGGTTTTCACGTGGTGAGCCTGGGAAAGCACAAGGGAGGAAACCCATCTCAGATAAGGACCAAACAAGCCACATGGTTAATGTTGACTAATGTTGGGGAAAAGTGGGTTCCTACGTGGCTTTCGTCCCATCCGGTCAGGAAGAGCTTGTAGGTGAGGAAGTCCCCCATGCCTCTCTCCACCATCTCCCTCTCCAGCACCTGCAGGAGGTCCACAAACCACTCGAAGGCGTGCGTCTCCCGGCAGAGCCAGTAGAAGTAGATCTGAAACCAGGAAGAACATGAAGACGTGTGAGCGGTGATCAGCTCGCCCTATCGTACGGTGTGTATCGGGGAAAACACACAACAGCCTCCATTTAAACAGGAGGTCCTCCTCATCCGGGGTGGATGCCAGAGGCCTCACCTTCCTGGTGCGCAGTTTGGGGTTGGATTCCTTGAACTTGTACCAGATGGACTTGAGGATGGAGGCGAAGGGGGTGACGCCGATGCCGGCGCCGACCAGCATGCCGACCTCGTAGTCAAACACGTCCTCGCTGGCCGTGCCAAAAGGCCCGTCCACGCCCATTCTGCCAGGAGACAAGGGTCAGGCTTAATGGCTAGGTCAACCACAGTTTTTCTTTTTTTTTTTTTTTACACACAATTGTTCTCTCTATCTTGCTTGATCTACACACACACAAACACACACAATAAAGTGATGACCAGGAAAATGTCTTCACTTTCCAAAAAGACCTCACTTCGTTGGTTAAAAAATAGTTATGGTTCTCACTCTGATGCAGCAACAAGGACACACACGCACACACACACAGACACGTGCACACACACGTACACGCATTTATACACGTATGTGTGTGAGTCTACATGAAGAAAACTGATTGCATTGCTCATCACCAATGTAAGCCTGTTTTATTTTTTTTAAACCTAGATATTAGTTTCTTCCGACTTTGTCTCCAGGGAGTGTTCACCTTTGTCTTCCCGGTGGGTGTGTGGGCGTTGGACTACAGACACGTGACGTGACATTTGCAGCTGAGTTGCTGCTGTGCTACAAACACAACCTCCCACGGGTGAGCGCCGTGGCGCTGGTCTGGACCGGTTCACGAGTCAGACTGGCTGTCAGCGCCTTCTGCTAGCGTCTGCCGCGGTGCGCTCCACGGCCCTTTTCAAACCCAAATCACTTCCATTGTTCCTGCTCCACTCGTGCGTTCACACTCAACCCTCCTTGTTGTTGCTCAAACCGAAGCCAGGCGGAACGACAACGCAATGTTTAGTCCACGCAACATTTTTCATAACGAAACAGGACCAAGGGAGTTTCTTTTTCTCAAAGCAAATTTTCCATTCAGGTAGCTTTGGCTAAGTTTCATCTCAACATGCTTTTTATGGGTTTATACTTTATGTTCTCAGGTCTCTAGGTCATGGGGAATTTCTGCTTTGATGGACAGATTTCAGCCTAAGTAACTTATGGTGACTCTATAGGATTTCCTTTTTAAAAAACGAATTCACATATCAATGAGACATGATCCTGGGGCTCCTCAGTTCTTTTGTACTTTACCATAATAACGCAGTCCCTTCCTTCTGTTTACTTTGTGAAAACCTTTGTGTAGCATTTGGCTTCGAGGGAAAAGCACTAAACAAATAAAGCCTGGTGACATATTTATGGACCTTGATGATATGCCTTCTGGCTTTCAGGTCAAAGGCTTAAATCTATTCTCACAACAGAAAGAAAGAAAAAACAAGCGCACATAATTGAACAGCACACATAAACATAACAACTAAACCATCTGTCTCAGCAGAGTAGGTTATAGCTTAACGATTCACAGATACCAATTCAGAGAGTTTCTAAAACACATTTTGTGCCAACTTAGAGAATTGGACGAAAAATACTGAAATATGGCTAAAAAAGGATCTTTTTTTTATTCCACTCACTTGGGTCCTTGAGCTCCCTCGGGCAGCTTCTGCATGATATCGATGAGTTTTTCTGTCCAGTCCCCAGCAGAGCGGATGTGGACACTGAAGAAGTCCTCTTCAGGGGCCGAGGTCATGGTGAACGGATGCCACTCCAGCTGGGAGATGGCCGGGCAGTTGAGGAAGACATACTGGCCCACCTCCATTTTGAACCCTTTCTTCATCAGCTGCAGCTCCAGCACTTTGGAAGGGCGCATCACGATCTGAAAACGGAGACGCTAACCCTTAGATGAACTGCCCAACAGCAGCAGGCGGCACCGAGTCCAAGAGGCTGACACATACCTTCCTGTACTGGACTCTTTGCATGTAGCGGATGAAACGCACCAGGCGCTCGCAGAGATAAATAACCATCGGGCCAATCACGTACATCCAGGTCTGAAAGAGGGAGCGTGAAGCAGGATTTAGTATTTCACCAGTTGGAGCAAAATGGAGCAATCCATACAAGTGAAGAAGAAAAGGATGGGAACGGACCTGTGGGAACCCTCCCGCAAACTTAGGGATGGGGCACTCGGGAATCCTTCCCCAGTCCTGAACTCGATCTTTACAAAACGTGAAGTTATGCTGTATCTCCAGTTCTTCGGGATATATTTCCCTCCTCACAATGCGCCTGCAGATGAAGGCCGAAAGTTAAAGACGTTTGCAAAAAAAAACCAACAAGCGCACCGTTCCCAGAAAGGGGCAAAAAACTGAGGGCTGCAGCATACCCGGCTCCGTGGAAGACGAGGCCCGCAAAGAAGATGACGAAGAGGTGGTGGGTGTACCAGAACACCTCGAAGTAGCTGCGCCTGATGACCTCCATGGAGGAGGTGATGATGAGGATGAGCGCCAGAGTGATGATGACCCCGGTGAGCCCGGCGATGGTGGTGAAGACGAAGTAAGTGGGAATCTGCTGCGGATCCTGGCGGGAAAAGCAGGAGGAAAGCAGATGAAGCTTTCAGTTCTAACGGCATGGCATGACAAATGCATTAAACTATGCTATTCACTGGATTTTTTTTGGTCACTGTTTTTGATCCTCCATCTTAGACTGCTGTATCTTGACAATTATGCCACAAACTATCGAATGCTAACAGTCTTAAAAGAAAAATCAGTAATGTTTTACACAATTTTTAAACTTCTTTTCATGTTAGAATTCGTAAATATGAAAATAGAATTGTTTTTTTTCCATCAAGTTAGCCACTATATGATCTATCAAACTGAGATAAAACACTCCAAGGGGTTACTGGGTTACCAGACATCATAAAACAGGCTGACCCGGAGGAAGAGAGGGATGAAGAGGGTTTTAATCTTCTTTAAATTTTGTCTGGAGGATTTCAGTATATGTCTTTACATCGCAAAGCCTCCAGATGATGACTTACTATGTCGGTTTTGCGGATGGGGTTCAGGTAGGTGGTGTTGTCTGTGTCCTCCAGGCTGGACAGAGCGGTGCTGAGCTCGTCGTACTCCCCCTGCCTGCTGTTGTTGTACCACTCCACGTTCAGCAGATGGGCCACCATGTGAACGGCTGTGGAGGGAAACAGAGGAGACTGGTTACTGATGCTGTGGGATCTGTCGATTCAAATACATTTTTTTATGGGATTTTTGATGCATGACTGAGGAAAACTGTTCAGCACCTCACCAGTGACCAGCTCATCTAAAGCCACTGTCTGGTAGTTTTGACAACAGCTATTCATATATATATATATACATATATATATATATATATATATAAATATATATTCACCAAAGTTTCATGTGGGAATTATATCTGGCATTGGAATAATAATAAGTGACCAATAATTATGAGAAACAGATTGAATATGGTCACAATTTCTACTGTTGAGGAAAAAGTATCATCCAACCTTTTTGAAGGGGATTCAACACAATAACACAATGAAAAGCACAAAACATTTAACAAAGCAAGATAAAATAAAAGTAAGGTTGCTTGTTATTTGAAATATTGTTGCATTTTCTGTTTTTTAAAAGGACATATTGAGAATCTTACACGTTTTTTTAAAGAAGGACTTCTGTGACAGAGGTAAGGAAATTCCCTTCAGATGTTTCTGAAACATTAAGCTCTCAAACCCAAGGAACAGACGAACAATCAGACAATTTGATGCCTCGGTATTCAGCTCAGACAGGAGGGTGATAAAATTTACTCTGGAATTTCACTTTACACATTTAGCTCAGAATGAGATTTGAGGCTTTAACACAAGTATCTCAAAACAAATCAGGGACGCTTGTGCGTAAACGCACCTGTCATCAGACCAATCATGTACGCCACCAGCTTGTGGAAAGTCAGATTTTTGTCCAGTTGTTTCCTCATAGTTCTGCTGCAACACTGAGAAGATAAAGAAAGGGAAGGAAAGACTGAGTAAAACGCGGAACAAACATAGTTGTGGAGTCAAAAACTGTGAAGCCACAGGTAAAGGGGAGTCAGAAATGTCCCGTTTATTGACAAAAAAAATCGATTTTAAGCAGTTAAAACTCTTTGTTGAAAATGTAAAATGATAACCTCTCAGCAAATATTGTGTCGATGGATGTCTGGAGGCTCAATGAAAGACACGAACAAAAGAAAAGAAGCTCGCTGTCACACATAAACATGGCCTTACCACTAAGGAGCCTCGGATCAGAGACAGCAGGTTCCTGCAAACCGGGAGGAGGATGAGCATGCAGTTAAAGTTCAGCACAGCTGCAGGAGCTCTGGCCCAGGCCAGGGCCGACTGGGAGAAACAACAAACCCAAACACGCGTGAGGAAACTGGAAAAAAAAACTGCAGACTGAGTTTCTTCTGCTGACATTCACCAAACTGTCTGGCATATTATTTCCCCATCACATTTATCTCACAGCGAGAGCAACTATAGAACTACTGTGGTATTACAGAAAAAGCATGTAGAACAATCAGAATAAAAGATTTGTTCATGGATCTTGTTTGATTTCTGAAACTTAATATGCTTCATATAGATCAAATCAGATATCTAATATTTTTAACCGGAAGCAGCTATAATTGTTTCATTATGGTTATGGATTTCTTAAAACTAACCCAGCATTCCTGAGCATCTAACAGAGTCAGAAGGTGTTGTTTTCTGTTGATGTATGATCATTCAGCTCAGTTTCTACATTCATCAATGCAGCTTCAGCACCATTTCACTTTACTGGTGCCTTTACCTTTGTGAAAAGAGTCCCCTACGTTTTTCAAATGAGTCATCCAGGTGTTTTGGGTCTCTTTACTCACCCCTAATAGATGACGCGTGTAGAAATACTCATCCCCCAGGTCGTAGATGAAGTAAAAATAGACAAATAGAAAAATGTTGAGGCCCATCCAGACCGTCTGTAAAACACAGAAGGGGTCATGTTTCCGTGTCAGAGGGACCACAGACTGAGAACGATTTATCTAAAAACCTGAGCATCCCATCCCTATGTGCGCACGCGACTGTGCTCCAGGAATTGAAAAATCATAAATCCTAAAACGGGAATCAGAACTCACCAGCGTGACGGCTGAAAATCCATTGTTGATGATCCAGTTCCCCATCCTGAGCGCTCTCACGGAAGCCTTCCCGCATCCCGAGCCCTGTCCGCTCTTCTGGCTCTTATACTCACCCGTACGGCCCCTCCCCACCCTCCCTCCCTCCCTCCTACACAAGCCTACGGGTAAGGAGACATAAGGAAATAAAAGGCGCAGCAGGTGAAGTTGCGCTAATCAGGAACTTCCACGGATAGCTGAATGACAGCATTCCGGGAGGCTGTAATCTGAAGATTGGACTAACTCTACTGAAGGCTGGAATGAGGAAGTATCCGCCAGGCTGTCAAGGAAATGATACCCCGCTCTCCTGAGAGCCATGCCAGGAGTTACCGGAATAAAAAGACTGATTCAGCTTTATTGCCAATGGGCCTGTAATGTGTGTCAGATTTCATTTGCAGAAGAAAAAGCAGAGGGACTCAATTCTGTCATTTTTATTCAAGTTTCAAGAAGTAAGATGATCAAGGCCGTGTATTCCAAACAGAAACAAACATAAAAAAAGTTAGCAGTGTTAAAGCACCTCAGTAGAAAGTAGAAGCTCATCCAGGATTAGTCTCCTCCAACAAAACGATGTCAACATTAACTCTGAAGAACCTTTTTGCTTAAAAGGACAAACACACACGTATTCAACAAAGTCTTTAGACAAACGATTCTCACCAAGTTGTTTCATTTCGTCTCATCAACACACCTTTGTTTCATTTTGTTCTTTCGCGCTAAAACTTTTTTTTCCTTATCGAAGGCAACTGGACAGTGAACAATACAAGGCATTCATTACAGCAGTTGAGTATGAGGAAGTAAAAACAATCTTTTCTTGTCTTCCCTCCTGTGATTTTTCTCCTTTTTGAAGGTTGGATTAGTGTGGATGCAAACGTGTGCAAACGGGCTTTGGTGGCTGAGTGGGAACCCTGAGCGGACGTAAACCGGGGGGGGTTGTTCTGGTCAGCGTTTCTCTGGCCGCTTTCGGACTCACTTGGCACGTTTCCCTCGCACCTGGCTGAGCCTCCCCGGGTATCTGGACGCGCTACATTCTTTAGCAGACGGGGGGCCTCCCGGTGCCCTCCGTGTGTGTGTGTGTGTGTGTGTGTGTGTGTGTGTGTGTTATTCCTCTAGAAAGGCAGTGAGAGGCGATGCACGCGTCCATCTCGGAATCCTAAATGAGCGGCTGTGTGCACTCGAGAGAAAACGGCAAACGTCTGCAGAGCATCCTCTCGAAAAACAAAAAAAACAAACAAACAAAAGACACCCAGTCTCCGGCTCTCATGCTGCCTCCATCATGCCTTCAACGATGGCCGTCTCCCGCTCCGCCGGCCGGCCGCCGGGGTCGGAGCGGTGGGAGTTCTGGGGATCCAGCAGCTCCAGCGGCTCCTCGGCGGTCAGCACCATGGTGCCGGCCGTGGAGTAGGACGGCGGAGGCGGGGCGGCCGCCCCCCCCCGCCTCCCCGCCTTGTGGCAGCAGACGCAGCGCAGGCAGTCGTGGACGTTGTGCTTGAAGAGGCGCCGGCAGGGGTGGAAGAACTGGTAGAAGAGCAGCATGAAGAGCACGGCCAGGCTGTAGCAGATGAGCAGCTGCACGGCCAGGTGCGGCGTGCACACGTACTCGTAGAAGTCCGACTTGAAGAAGTACCAGAGCGTGATGAGGAGGAAGTTCTCCACGAAGCGGGCCGAGTAGTACAGGGCCAGCCGGCCCCAGCCCTGCCGCCGCTCGATCAGCTCCCGGTGCGTGAGGTCCAGCTGCACGGCCGACCAGCAGAAGACGTTGATGCAGGCGTAGAGCAGCGTGAACATGCACAGCACCACCGTGGTGCCCAGCTTGGAGAAGTTCTTCTCCACGCCCTCCGTCAGCGAGCCCCTCTTGCTCCAGAACTCCACCCAGGGCAGGAAGAAGAAGAAGAGCAGGTTGAGCGAGCCCACCAGGACCACCCAGTGGGTCAGCGCGGTGCTGAAGAGGACCAGGGCGGTGACCCGGGTGGCGATCTCCAGGCCCCGCCACACCACCATGCACACGTAGGCCAGCGGCCGCAGCTGGACCTTGTAGTCGTCGTATCTGATCTGGATGGCCAGGACGCTGCACACCAGAGCCCCGTATGTGATGGAAATCAGGGTGATGACCATCAGAACCACTGGGAAGACAAACCGAGATGGCCGGTTAGACTTTACACAAAAAACTATTCCACCGCGGAAAGCACACGAACGTTACGCAACACTCTCAGACATAGAAAAAAACAATAAGCCATCCCTTGTTCAAGTCTGATCATAAAAAAAATGTAATCTTATTCATCCATTAAATGTTTCCGAATGCAAAATCTTAAATTATGCTGTCCTGCTGATCAGTTATTTCGAGGATTGCCTTTAAAAGATTTTTTCCAGGTAACGACTGTCTTCCTCTGGCGCCATCTTGAGGCCAAAGGTGGGACATGCATGGATAAACAGCAGTGTGTATTTACACTGCTAAAAGAAGCATGGCAGCACATAAGATAGTGAAAATTAACAACCTGTGTGCACAGGAAGGCCTGCATGCAGCGCTGAGACAGATTCAGCCCGACAGAAACCTGCCCGAGGGAATAACAGCGCACCGCTTTGAAGGCAAAGGCAGACTACTTCAGACGGAAAAACATTTGGCAGCGTTTTTCACTGCTTTTTTGTGGTTATTTTTAGTTCGCTGGACATTTTTTCTCTGATTAGATGTTGAGAGAAATAACCATCCCACAAAAAAAAGAAATATTTAGAAAAAAAAGGAACATGGACATCATTTACACATAAAAATAGATCTGAAAGAGAACCCAGAAAAAAAGAAGAAATGGAGCTAATGGGGAGTTTTAAAGCATACAGAGTACCCGTCTAAAAAACTTCTAAAAAACTGTTTAAGCAACAGGTCAAAGCTCAAGTTAGATACCTACAGACAGTTGACACTGGCTATCGACTGATGACCAATAAACATTGTTTATTTTTCTACACTTCAAGCAGCTGGTTTCAAGATTTTCTGCCTTTTTTTTTTTACTCTGCCTTGTTTTGTTTTACCCCCGAGCCCCAGCTCCTTACATCTGGTCGGGAGGATGTACTTCTCCTGGATGGTGGCGTACAGCTGGAGGGTGAGCTGGGGGGTGGAGCCCAGGAAGGCCTGGATGACGGCCGTGCGCTTGAAGGCGTTCCTGTGCACGGCCAGCGTGCGCTCCGATTGGCCGATCTCCAGCTCCATGGGCGTCTGTTTGTCCTTCTTCAGCCTGATCTTCCTGGAGATGGTGACATAAGGCTCCTCTCGTTTGCCCGCCTTGAAGTAGACCGCAAGGGCCTCGAAACACCTGAGGGGGAAACATGAGAGGTGGGGGATGAGACCGAAGTTAGACTTCAACACCAACAGGGGGCAGCGCCATGCTGTGATCAAGTCTTAGCGCTCCCAAGAGGGAGGTTGCTACTGGGGGGGGTATTGAACTTTTAAAAAATTAACATGAACATTACAGGCAATCTGTTCGTTTACAATCTTCAAATGTGATATATATATATATATAGATCCACCATTGAAATAAAAAGGCAGTGATTTCAGAAATGCCACCCATAATGCTGAGTTCTGTTGTAAATCACAGTCAAACGCACGGAGGCTCAGACACGGGGGTTCCAGCAGAGGGCGGTCTGGAGGCAGAAAACATGGCTCCTGAGGTCTGGACGGGTGAGCTGAAAAGCTCTGGGTGCGGCTCAACGTTTGCAAGGTAAATGCTCCCTGTGTTTGTGGTGGACGGCCACGGCTTTCCAGAGCCAGGACTTAGAAGAGAGAGGCTTTTTCTGGGCCAGAAGGGGCAGAAATCCCCACCGGTGTGGAGCGTTTGTCGGGAGGGTTAGAAAAGGGCCATGGAAGACGTGATGGAAATGAAACCGAGTGCAACAGTTAGAGTGCAAAAAAACAACTGGAAGAGCAGGTTTCACCTAACAAAAAGTCCCCTGTAAATCCACCTTACAATAAATGAGTGCGATACAACAAGTGCTGCATACATAGGCATTTCCCCTCCCCCCAAAACACACACACACACACACACACACACACACGCACACACACACACACACTAAAACAAGCCTCTGGTGAGTCGGACTGCAGCACTAAATCTTACATCCCTGTGCTGAAACACTCAGACCCCACACACAAGGCCAAAGCGTTAATATGCCGGCGGTGGTTTGTGGAAACCTGTTTTCTACTGTATTTGCACCCTACCCCCCCACTCCCGTGTGAGGGAGGGTGGCGGAATCATGTGTTGAACGCCGTGCAAAAACACTGCCAGAGACACCAGAAACGTCGATGTGCACTGACTCCAGGGGCAGGAAATTCTTTCAAGGCTCTTTAGCGAGACCATCCTGTTTTGGTCTCTGTGGATTAGCCCATCAGGCTCATGGGCTCCCTGTGAGTCAGAGACACACAACACAACACAACGCAACACAACGCGCTGCGTGCTGAGACTGGTCTGAACTAATTATGAGGTGTGCGTCCACGCTTTGGGGGAGGGATCGCCGTGAGGTCGGCGGTTGAACCGGCCTCCAGTCGCCACGGAAACCTCCCGTCTGGGCCGACAGGCCTGCAGAGGTGATTTGTTTAAATCCCGAGCGGGAGCCGGGCATTCTTAAGGGGAGGCCGGAGAAACAAAACAGGCGGGGGAGGAGCATCCCGCATTTTTCTGCTACCGTTTGGGGAGTTAGAAAAAAAAACATATTTCCAGAGAATGAAGGTGTGCTCGTAAGACAGTGAATGTAACTCTACTCGTTTGCCTAATTGAGTAAAACAAGTGCAGACAGCTGGCTTCAGTCCACGCTAGAGTAATGTGGAGCCATCCCCTTTAGAATTGATCTGGTGTTTCAGTCCGAATTCGTCCAATTCCAGGAGTCTGAATCAGGTCAAAGATTCACGTCTTTTAATTTAAACCCGATCTGAAGCCTTTGAAAATAGCATCTTATGGCAGATGTGAAGCACCACCTCCCTGTAATCCAAAAGTTGTTTTCCTCACCTTATTGTGTTTAATTTGAACAGTTAATCAATCTTTTTTATGACAGACTATGAAATGGCCGAACCCAGACGCAGCATAAAGGGTCCCCTGAACACCTCTCATGCTTTTTGGCATTAAATCCTAAAGCATTTTCTGGCATTTGGTGTTTCGGCTGCCCGAAAAGCAGCTTCTCCCCGTTACTGCTCCTTTACTTTCAAAGAAATATGGAAGCTTGTCACTAATGGGACACTTTTACAGCCGTTGGATGTTTTCGGCCGTAAAACTGAACAAACGCAGGGGCCGAGTGTTCCTGCTCAGACCCCTGTGTGATTAAGCATGAGACCATAGGACGGTCGATGCTAAATCTCCCTCCTACTCATCACTTTTAGCAGGAGGAAGACCACCCAACTCCTCTGGGACTCTTATCTAATGCATTAATGAGCACTTCGCATTTTGAGAAGGAACGAGACGCGGTGACCTTTGTGGACCTACAGGGAGGGGGGGTGAACTCATGGAAATTCTGTCCTCTTGGCCTTTACTTCATCTTATTTTCAAAACCTGCATTTCACAAAGAACAAGCTCTCATCAGACCTGCCCGCTCAGCACTCGCGGACCCGACCGTTTCCTTTTTGGGAAAGTGTCAGAAAGCACCGCCTGCTATTCGTCTGATTTACGGCCTGTTTGATCTGTATCTGTTCACAGAGCGCTTCCACGGCGGGGCGCGCAGCCACGCGCCTTTTTTTCCTTTTTTGGCCCGATCGGGCCGTTCTTTAAGCCGACCGGGGTTTTATTTGGCCCGTAAAAGCACACGCCCCTCCAGCTCCTCACGCCGCTCCCAGCGGACAAATCAAAGACCAGGTCAAAGGTGAAGCGGAGTGCAATTCAACGAGGCAGAGCCCACAAACCAGGCGGCCCCCCCCCCCCTCCTCCTCCTCCTGCACCGACCTCTTCCAGGCTAGTTCAGTCTCGTTTCTGAGGGTCACATCTTTCACAATCCCTTTTCCAAGTAGATCCACCAGTTTTCCCCTAACCCCCCTCCCCCCCTCCTCCTCTTCCTCCTCCCTGGGCCAGACTTCAGACGCCTCTGAGGGCCGCTGGCCTCAGATGAGTCATCCGTCATGAGCGCGGAGGGAGTGTTTCTGGGACGGGGTCATTCTGACAGAGCCGATCACGTCTCAGACATCTGGGAGAATTTTTTTGTTTTCCCATCTGCGTTTAAAAAAAAAAAAAAAAAATCTCTGGGTCCATCGCGGCTCGGCCTGCTCGGTAACATGGGAGGCTGTTATTTTTCTAAGTCTTACATCCTGTTTGCTTTCCATCTGGAGTGTGCAGGAGGCCCGTTTCAAAGAAAGCCATCAGGATGATAAAATCAGTCCACAGCAAAGTGCTGCAGCATCCTGTCGGCCCCCAGACACTCGTCTGCCAGCCGCTGCCGGGATATTCACGGAAAAGGGAGGCGGAACAGCATTATTTTCTCCCCGGGATACAAAAAAGACATTTTTTTTTACAAAAAAAAAAAAAGGATTTACTGTCAATGGACAAATTAACTGAAAGAGTTAATTGAATATGGCTGCCAAATGCTCTCAAATCCATTAAAGGGAATGCAGTGTCATCAGAGGCCGCTGATACACTCAGCAGTGATTGTTGGATCCCAAGAGGAGAGCTGCTGAGTGGGAACTGGAAGCGGATGCCAGAGGGCTGAATAAGAAGCCGAATGCGTGACCCGCTGACGGTAAAAATCCTGACAGTCAAATCTCTAAAATGAGTCGTGGTCATGAATTGTGCAGACGCATCAAAAACGGTCAAACGCAGATCGTCTGGACGCAGGCGGTCAACAGCCGGCGCCCCCGGAGGGGAAGAAGACGTTCAGACTGAAAGCGGAACAAACCACACAACCACACAGCCCACACAGTTGTGTGATTTGTGGTTGTTGCCTCTAACCCTGTAAAACACAAACATCCCGCTTCCCTTTGGGCTCGTTTTCCACCTCCTACTGTTTGGAACCTTCTTTAAACTCCCAATTTAGGACGCTAACCGTCTTGTTGTGGTTGCGTTGATCTTTTTAAGCCACCGGGGTCATTTTTTATTCGGATCTGACCCTCTTTTGTCTCGTAACAGTCACAATTTCTCCAATAACTGCTGTTTGTTGTTTTCGTTTTTAGGTCAAATTGCAGTCGTTTAGCGTCATTCCACACTCTGTTCTGTTTCAATATTTACTTAAGTTTGAACACGCCCAACCCGTTGAAAATAAACGTCTTGGTGCGTCCAAACGTGAAGATTTGATCAACTTATATGTCTGAAACAGATCAGGATCCCCCTTCCAGACTCCTGTGGACCCACTTAATTAGAGGTGGGCAAGTCCAGGCCTGCTATCCTGCAGATTTTAGAGGTTTCCCTGTATCCACACGCCTGAATCACGTCAGCACAACGTCTCAGTCCTGCGGAGAGCTGAACCGTCTTTAAGAAGATATCCGTTTCATCCGAATCAGGGGTGTAGAAGCAGGAAACCTCCAAAACTGGGGTCTCAAACTCAAGGCCTTTTTGGGCTGCAGTCCTGCAGGTTTTAGATTTTTATTCCTGCTTCTGGACACCCGATTCAGACTCAATTGGACCTCCTCTGGACATTGCTGAGCTTTTCTAACAGCTCTCTGGCGTGAATCAGGTGTGCTGAAACCTCTAAAACCTGCAGGACCCTCAAGGACCGCAGTTTGAGACCCATAGCTCTAAAACCTGCATAACGAAATGTCCTCCGGCTTAGAAAAGAGTGACCAAAAGTGAGCCAGAAAAAGCCCTCCACCCACCGGATGACGGGGCCCATCAGCAGCAGGTGCAGGAACAGGACCAGGGGCCGGTCCCGGCCCAGGTCCCTGTGGATGAAGGTGAGGGTCAGCTGGATGAGCACGGCCGGCAGCAGCATGAAGGCCACGGTGAAGCCCATCCAGATGTGGTCGTCCGTCTCGCGGTACATGCTGCTGAGCACGGCGGCCGTCACGAACTCGGCGCAGTAGAGCAGCGTGGCCAGCAGCACGCTGAGCGGCGCGTGCGCCCGCCCGTGGTTGACCACCAGCACGAGCCCGCTCTCCGCCGCCGAGGAGCGCCGGTCCCAGTCCGAGATCTCCCGGCTGGGCTCCTCCTCCACGGCCACCTCGCACATGCCGGCGACGTGGAAGGTGCCACTCCGAGAAAAAAAAAAAAAAATAACCTCAAGATTTAGAGATCCACCAAACTCCACCAAAAACTTTCAGTCTGTTTTTCCTTCGCTGAGCCGTCTCTCCCAACTTTCCAGCAACTCGATCATTCCCACGATCAGCCCCCACTCTCCGGTGGAGTGGCAGCACCCCACTCGGAGTGTGTGATTTACCGTGGGGTGGGATTTTTTCAAATTTATTTCCTCACTCGCTGTGGGCCGTTTAAATCCGGGGAGACCACCTGACCCACGGCACCGATCTGGGCTCGGTCGGCGTGCAGGTCTGGATCGGGAAAGTTGCGCTTCTCATCCCAGCTGCTCCCACAGACGGGTCCACGCGGGCCGCCGCCGTGGCACGCGCTCGGAAGCCGTGTGAGGCGTTCATGGGCTCCCTTTCTCCGGGTGGACGGCCCACTAGAGGGGCTGGGGGCCCGGGGCCGGCCGCTGGTGGCTCTGCATGCTGCTCGTGGCCCGTCAGATGCGTCCAGTTTTCGGCGTTGACTAAACAGCTGTGTCGATCCTCCGGACCGGATGTGACGACTCGTTTCAAAATAAGAGAACCTGGCCGCGCCCACATTTTACCGCGTGTTTTTTAGTGACCTTTTGATTCGTAGGAATGTCTGGATTAAAAATGGACCTGAAAGACAAACCATTAAGAATATGGGTGCAAAAACAAATCTTTAATCCTGACTAAAAAAACTGTTTACATCCTTGCAGCGCCCCCTACTGGTCTTTATTAATACTTTTTAAAGCTTCAAACTTTTGGAACAATATTCATTCATAGTATTAATCGAAAGGACGTAAAACAGTCAACTATTTCACATAAAGAATGAGAATATGGTGAGACTTTACAAAACATATAAATGAACCTGTTTGATAGTTTTATGAATGGTTTAGTGATATATTATTTTGTTAGGCACCATGGGTTTAGAATAGTGGCAACTTTTTATTGAACAAATCATGCCTTTATAAGTGAGATTCAATTATTCTTGCACAGGTCTAATATTCTCTCATGTTTTATCAACATATTGTCATAATCTCTGAAAGATTTGACCACTTTGAGCCAAACAAAATCAAATCTGACCTAGAAAGAGCATTCAGGACTTAACATGAGGCGTGTATGAGAACGTTCCTTCAATTTATCGGATAAAAGCAAGATTTTTACAGCTGTGAAAAGTCACACGGGTTTCTGTTACATGTGTGATCAGATAGTTGCATTGGAAGTTTTAATCCAATACATAATATTATTTTTTCAAGATCAATAGTTATCTATTCTGCTGATTGAATATTTAGAACAGAGCTTGGCTATGCACAATAACAAGTAAAGTTCCTCCCAATAAACTTATTTTGTTTTCTTGTCTTGAGTCTTGAGTAAGTCATGTGTGTCATCAGAGCTGTATGATTTTTGAAGATCACAAGAGGATAATGGTTGAAAATAGGTTGTTCGCTACCAGTCAGGACTGTTTTTGAGGATACATTTAAGGCATACATGTGTATTTCTATTCCATTCACTTTTGCAAAAGTTCGGGATAAGTACACTCTTGTGCAGATAAAGCAGTCTGTCAACATAGATAAGAATTCAACTCCACCTCAGCTAATAGCTGGCCTTCAGGCTGTCCACTGTTGAAAAGTAAAAAAACAGAAAAAGACAGAAGTAACAAACTACAACAACTTGAGACTTTGGGTAAAACAACTTGCTATTGCTGAAAATGACAATTTCTGAAAATGATAACAGAGCTGGTATGATTACTGTTTATCTTCACATGACGAACACGAACACCTATTTGAGGTTTAAGTCTGTTTTTGCCAGTGCGACTGCTAATCTGATTTATGGGCAGCAGATATGTCTTGAGAACTGCTTTTTTTTGTCCTGTCTAGATGTATCATTATTTTGCTGGAATCAAGCAACAATGTTGGAGAGATTTTTAACATTCTCCACATCCTTCAAGTTTGATAAGGAAAGTATATGTATATTTTTAATCTTTGGTGTATTATGTAATTTTGATGATGCCATAGGCCAGGCCAATAAGCAGCAGAGATTTTTTGCTTTAAGATGAATTTTCAAACTTATTTTGTGAAATACACATACAAAATGTTACAAAAGGAAAAAGCAAACATTTGTTTGATGGATGAGTCCACTTCAGTGCAGGGCTAAGACTAAGACAAACAAACTATTTAGAATCAACTTTACATGGGTGTTTTTGGAAGGTAATCCTACACACACTGGAGCTACTAAGCACACACAAAGAGGCCCCAGGCCGAATTTGAACCTTGAACCTTCATGATATGAGGCAACAGAGCTAACCACCCCATCAGTGTTCAAATTCGATAAAAGAAAAGCATAAAAATGTGTTTTAGAAACATGATAATACATTAATACACATTCGAGTTTGAAGAATAAGATGATTCTATAAACTCAAGGGGGGGATAACATACTTTAAAATGTATTAGAAATAGAAATAAGTATGATGATTTAAGTCATAATGGAAAATGTTTCAAATAGGCTAACAGAGTTATTTTATGCATGATGATGGGGTCAATGTGAGTGGTTAAAATAGTGTTACAGCTATAAAAAATCAAATGGAGGTCAAAGCTGTAAAACTATGTCAATCAAAAATAACTACAGCAAGAAGTGAGTTTTGTTATCTTAGCAATAAAACATATTAATAATACTTTCTGGACTCAAAACAATAGCAGCTAATTTTAGAAAATAGTGTCTGCTATATATATTCATACATATAGTTTATCCCTCGTCCAAAATAAAACCCTGTGGAGGGCTGAGCACGGAGAGATCGGTTTCTCCGCACCTCCATTTTTAGTTGCAGCCCTCAGGGTGGGGCTGGTCTTGTTATAGAGTCTCCAGCCTCAGAGCAGAGCACAACAGGTGCAAACAACAAATACACAACCACCCACTGAGTTTTCATCCCGTCCTCGTCCTCACGTCCACACAGACGCTTGAAACTTGATCGTATATGTGCACAACGCGTGGTCATTACATGGCACTTCTAAATCATATTGTCTCAACTTGTGATTTGTGTTGCTTAATGCATGAACGCGTCACAGACTGGTGCTTGCATAGCCAGCATTTCCATTGTAAAACCTCACCACTGCAACATGCCATTCTAGATTAGCTCATACTTGTACTGACACAACTGTAAATACAAAAAAAAGAGGACGTTGCTCTGTGTCTGTTTTAGCCTCAACAGTTTCAAAACTCTTTACCCAAAACATGGGGACATTTTTCTGTCTAATCAGATCTCTCCTTCTGCGAGGGTCAGCTCATTGTATGAAGGCTCGTCATTACGAATGCATGTGTTTGGTCACACAGCGGTTTGGGATCAGTGACCTCAGACTGTAGACTGGGCATGTGTGGAGCCTGGAGGAAGTGCAAGATCTAAACCTTATCATTGTCATACCCTGGGCTGTCCATTGTGCTACAGTCCAGAAAGGTCACTGTAAGGCTACACTGCGCGTCTGTTTCAAATTCTTGACGGGGAACCAAAGAAAACCATATGCTCTCACTACGTTTTGAACAATCTTTTAAACAGGAAAACGTCTCCAGGCACACATGTTTATATGACTTTGTGCTCAGAGATTGAGAAGATTAATGCCTCTCACAACGAAATAAAGATGGATGAAACCAGTAGCTGGTGGTGAGTTTTGCTTATTACAAAGCATAGAGCTCAGTCCAGGTTAAATATCTGTGATCAAGCTCCTGTCTGTAGAAATTTTATGCAGACACAAGCTGTTCCGTCTTCTCATCTCCCCGGAAAAGACTCTGAATTGCTCCCATAAACGTTATAACATTAACTCGCAGAGCATGCACAGCTAAACATATTTGCAATGTGAAGTCAACTGGGTGTGGTGATCAACATCTGCTGTGTGTGTGTTTGTGTGTCAGCTGACGTACAGTGTCCAGAGTCAGGATGAGTCTACTCAGCAGAGGAAGGCCGCGTCTGATTGGATGTGAGTCTAATGACATAACAAGATAAAGCCTGTACAGATCCAACTGCTTCCAGTCTCCGGACTATTCCACTAAATATTGATTCTCCATTTGCATTGAGGCGGCAGAAGCCCTGCATCTTAAATTCACTGTTTGCATTCACTAGTTTTTCTTGCATAATCACGAAAGGATTTGCAAAATGGGTTTGTTTTGTAAGTCTCAAATTTAGCTTTTAAACCTCAGAGATGGAAACATTCCGTCATTCAGGTCCACACAGCTCACAGCAGGGTTTTACATCCTGAGAACAACAGGCCCTCTAGTGGCAGAGGCTGAATCCAGAATGTGGTGAGCAGCCTGCTGCATTGTGTTAATACCGTTATGTAATGCAGTATGTGGAATTAATCCTTTTTTAATGCTGAGGTGAGCAATCCTTCTGACGCACGAACCAAGTTCCGGTTTCATGGATGTGATGATCAGGGTGCATTTGGGATTGCAGCCATTTATCCAAAAGGTTCTTAATTTGGACAACAGATGAACTGTTTAAATATGGATTTATTGCAGGATTTCTAAAGACAAAATGGAGTCAAATCATACAGTCCAACGATAATTACATTAAACATTTATCCATTTAGAACAGATTGTGTCTGTCCAGATGTGCATGTTGAATATTTGAATGCACTATTGCACCCCATAACATCAGGGATGCAGGTTTATGAACTGAGAGCTGATTGCAAGCCAGAATGTTTCAAAAGTGGATTTCCAGTTTGGGATTTTTCAGACCATAAAACCTTTTTCCACTTTCCCTGGTCCATTTGAAATGGACTGAGGCCCAATAAGGACCTTTTGTTTCCGGATGATGTTCAGATATTGCATCTTGTTTGTGTAATAGAGTATTAACCTTCCCTTTTTTTAATCTTTTAAATTTTTTTAATATATTTATATAAAAGGACACGGGCCTGCAATCTTATCATCAAGTTTAATCACACAGCGTAACCTACAAGAAAAACCAGATCTTCTGAAAATGCACATCGTCCGCACCCTCAGCAGCTCCATTAAGGCTCGATATGACACGGGCAGCATCATGTCATCCGTCCGGGAAAGACTAAAGCTTTACGGCTAAATCTCAACTAAGTCTGCCACTTTCTGACTTCACTGTGAAAATGAGATCACGGCGCGTCACACATCACTCCACTCGACACATTTAGTTTTCCTGGATGGATTAAAACACCTTCCTTTGGTCGGGTTCGAAAGGGGCCCTCGCCATCCAATGAGATTTGCAGTCAACTCTTAGAGCTCAAGGATTGGTTGATGAGCCAATGCAACGTTTCCGAGGATGCACCTCCCACATGGGGTGACTAAAGGCTTAGCGTGAGCCTGATTAGTTTAGCAGCAGGTGCTTCCAGGATGTTAGTAGGGACGAGCACCCAAACAAATGCATGGATATAGACTTACTTCTGTGAGTATCTTCTCTGGGTAACTCAAATTTGTATGTGTAGTATGCTCATGTATTCATTTTGATCCACTGATTATTAGTAAAATGTCTCTGACATGGTGCACAGTGCAGTATTTATTACAGTCATATTAACCATAACTGTTTACTACTTGAATGATAGCCGTTAACTACTTAGTGGTTGAGGTAACGTGGGTTTAGTATTTATATTAACATGTTTTCCAAAGCTTTCATGATTAGAGGATTTTCTTTAATCAAAAAATGTTTTCACCTATGTTCCGTGTGATTAATTGCAAAGTTTTAATATCATATTAGACATATTTGCATGTAAACTTTGAAATTCTTCAAAGCATGGACTGGACAAAAACACTATTCTAACCAGCATTATTGTGATGTAAAAACCGCTATTTAATACTTTTTTTAATACGATTTTTAATACGAATTTTTTTTTGCATCAAGAAGAAACATAAACATTTAGTTTTTTTAATCCATCCTGCACATTGAGGTGGTTCACATGGGAATTTTTCATGTGTCTTCTAAAATTATATTTTTGCAACATCAGCACCTGATGAAATCATCATTGCCCTGAACTGAATGTGTTGTTGATGTCGGTGTTTTCCAGAACGTAAAAAAAAAAAGGGTCAGCTGGTTAACTGCGCGGGAGAAGTGGGCCATCCTAAACTGGCTTTAGCAGATTATGGCGCCTGAACAGATGTATGGACAAATGACAGTCGGATCTGCCAGTGTTTTTTTTAGCTTACAGCCAGACTATCTCAAACACACCTTCTGGTCTGTGTGACTTACTAGGCTAAGGTGCAGTAAAGTACTCACAGATCCCACAACATTTAGGAAAGCCTAGCATCTGTACACCCCTCCGGAGCCAACAGTAACCAGAGGAAAAGCATATGCGCGTCACATCCTCTCCTGACCTGCCAGAGGGTGTTTTGAAGTTCATCATCTGTCTGCAGGTTCCAGTTCCAGAGAAGATGGTGGCCACTGTGCGCACCTTATCCACCACAAGTCAAAATGTTCAACCTAATGAGCAACTGCTGCAGCTGGGTCTCCAAAATACAGGAGCCAATAAGGTACGAAAGATTCATTTATTTTCACTTTTCATATAGGCAAAAATACGAACATCATCTTTCAAACATTATAGCTAAAAGATCTTTACACTTTCTTGTCCTTACAATCCCGATTGTAAAACTATATCTGACGTTGAGCCCAATTTCACCCATCTTCTCTCAGAGAGCGGTTTTCCGGCTTTAACCGCAATGCAAAGACTCAAAAAGGATTAAAAAAGGAAGCATTTATCCACCAGAATGGGAAAGACTACAGACTATCAAACATAAGCATTTTTGTCAATTGCTAATGTTTGCTTGTTAGTTGCTTGTTCTTTAAAATCATCCTGTTATTTCCCCTGAGTATATGGTACTATATGGTCCATATGGTAAGATGTCCACATATATGGCCATAATATGTGTGTTTGCATCTGTGGGGTCGCCGGGTTTTTTCATCATAATGTTTGCACTTGTCTGTAGGAAAGTGACCATTCTCGTGGTTGGTCTTGACAAAGCTGGAAAAACCTCCTCCATCAGAGGGATGCTGAGAGGTAAAAAATGACTGAACTTGACACCAAGTTACAGCAAATTTGAAAGCAGACGTCAAACAAGTTTTCTGCCTGTGTTTTCCCAACTTAGTCCCCCATGGTGTGGAGTCAGGGCCCACGCACGGCTGTGTAAGAAGCGAGCTGAGAGTTGAGAACTACCTGGTCACTCTGCTGGACGTCGGAGGTTCAGAGGAGTCGCGGGAAGCCTGGAGGGAGCTCTGCGGGGAGGTCCATGGCATCATTTTTGTGGTGGACTCCAGTGACCGGCAGAGGATGAGGGAGGTCAAAGAGGTTCTCTCTGACCTGCTGAAGCAACCGAGGGTGGCAGGAAAACCCATATTAGTGTAAGGACGCCCAGTTGGATCACATGTATTTTCTTGTCTGAAGGGCAAAAAAGCTCTCATTTGTGTCAAGTGATTGAGAATGCAGAAAATAGCTTAACATTTATGGGACAATTGTGATTTGTTTTTAGGTTGGCAAACAAACAGGATAAAATGAATGCTTTGGTGGGAAGTGAGTTGATCGAGATTCTGTCTTTGGAGAGGTTGGTCAACCAGAGCCGCTCTCTGTGCCATATTGTGAGTATCACACTGAAACCCGATAAGACAATAATCTTGTGTACATACTGGGATAAAAATAAGTAATCAATGAAAATATCCAATGGATGGGGGAAAAAAAGAGAAGTTCTTCTAGATTTAGAAAGACACCTGAGACATGTGGAGAACTGACCGTGGTTTGTCCTCCAAGGAGCCTTGTTCAGCCTTAATGGACCTGCGACGCTGGTCAGACCGAAAGACTCTGCGAGGCCTTCGCTGGCTGCTGCGCGCCGTCTGTCTGGACTACCCAGAGCTATGTGCTCGCATAGCCCACGATAGCAGGAAGCCTCTGGAGCCGAGAGAAGGAGAGAGGAACGGGAAAACTGAGAGAGTACGCAGAAAACCCAGAGTTGAACGGTAAGAAGGGCTGTGATGTTCCGAGAATTAGTGACTGAAATATTGCCCTCGAAAGCATCGGCTTAAAAGAGACAGACTAGCTCATTCAGCTTTGCTCTAAAGCTCTATGTCAAATCTTCTCTTACCTCAGGACACGATCCAGCAAGTCAGATCTTCGCCAGGTTCGTCGGCCCCGAGAGAAAGAGAAAAAGACCAAGAGCGAAGGAAAGCTGCAACCCATTCGGAACATGCTGCAAAAGGTATTTTGTATTTTAAAATACAATCATATATCATGAGATAAAAATTGAGCTTAGAGGTCATAGAACTATTTAACTTTTCTTTGTGTTGAAGACAAGGGCTGGAAAATGAACCTTTGTCCATCAAACAGGTTTTTCAGTCATTTCAATAATTCACTTTTTGATTAAATGAAAAAATATGAAGTTAGTTCTAGTTTTTGACACAGAAGGCTAAGTACTGGTGCGTTGATGACTGCATCTCACTGGTTCAAACTTTCTGGATTTCTCTAATACAACAGAAAAAAATGTCAGCCATTAAATCTCCTACAGTTTGTTTTGTTTGATGTCTTCCATACATTTCACTGTCTCTCTGCATAGCTCTCATCTGTGACGTAGCAGGAGAGTCAACACAAATACTCCTTTTTTTCCACAGGAGGCCACTTTGAAAAAGAAGCTGGGGACAAAAAAGAAGAAGAAGATTCCAGTCAAAGTGCAAGAAAGTGAAAAGGGTGATGAGGAGGCTCGTGAAGCGGAAGAGGGAGACGAAGAGGAGGGCGACTGCAATGAAGGAGAGCAGGAAAACGGACACCGAGACAAAGCCAGCAGTGCCCTGATCCCTCCGAAAAAAGGCAAAGTGAAGCGCAAAACAAAGGTGAAGGAGGAGAGTCTGTGTGCGCCAGACTCACTCAACGGAGATGAGAAGCTACCAAAAGGTGCTCATCAGTTATCCTAAACAACCTGTGGTTTTGTGTTGTTTTGCTTTAAAAGCATAAAAATCTGACTATTTGTTTCTTGTGTTTAGTCAAAGGAGAAAAAAAGAAGAAAAAGAAAGTTGTAAAAGTTGTGAAAAGAAAGAATAAGATCAACACGGAGGAAACACCTGAAGCTTACTCACAACCTGTGGACCTCTCTGCAACCTTCGGTGAGCCTCATGCACTTCTTCCATCCTCCAGTCCAATACAATACCTTGCTGGATGCTAAAGTGATGATATTTCAGCTTTCATTTAAAAAGATGACCCTGTCTTCTGATAGATCTTTACCGAAAAGCAATTCTGGCTCTGAAGGAACGTCAGGATCAGGGACAGGGAGAGTGAGCCATTGCTGTGTCCTGCCACCTGATTGTGAGGATGAGGTCCACACTAGTAGCATGCAACACACTATCACTTCAGAAATATATATATATATTTTTACAGCATATTTCTATATCACCGTCTATTGTGTAGACTACCCGACCCTTGAGCCTTTGGAGGGAAAGTAGAGTCTCCAGTGGGTAATGACGGGAGGGTCTTCATATTCCTATGCTAATAAAAAGTTTATATTGCATGTGCAAGTTTGGCCAAAGTTTTAAAGGGGATTTTGTAAAAGTTTCTGTCATGATGAATGTAAGGGAAACAGTATTTTTAACTGTATGTTTTGAAATATCTACACATCCATAAACACATATGTGTGTGTATATATATATAATTATCTGAACATTTTCAGCAATGACTGTGGAAAGTAATGCTCGTTTCTGGGGTGATGATCAGATGTTTTATATGTGTCAAAATAAGAAATGGTGTCTCTCATTTCACAATACACTTTATTACAACAGGAATCTCTCCGATATCACATTGTATTTGTTCTCCAGGTTAGTCAATCTTTTGTGCATAGAAATGTCCAAACAACCTATGATTACCATATCTGTGGAGTGTCCTCAAAAAAAGTCGGAAAGATATGATGTCAACCATGGCTTCATCAGAATATAATGTGTGTGAAACAGAACGAACCTTTAGGTCAGAGGTCAGTTTCCTGTTAGGGTAGTAGACCGATCCTTCTAGGTCGGTGGTTTAATGAGCTTCAGCATCTAGGAGGATCTCTGACTATAGGAAACACAACTTTTTGGATTTCATAAATGACCCGTTGTTTGTTTGTTTGTTTTCATATTAAAGACTTTTTCAGGTTACACCCGAGCCTCTATTTCTTTTATGAAGCATTTGGAGAAAAACACAGATGTATGAAATGGTGCCAAACAGCAGCTCAAGACACTTTTGATTTGTGTTTTTCAGTTTGAATTGACTGGTTAAAGGTATCCCTGCTTTTAAGAATATCTGATATAAATGAAAGAGTTGTGCTCAGCCCTCACAATGACTTAATTAATTTGTATTGGATTTACTGGAAAGCAAAAAATTGAATAAAATAAATAAACAGCTATTTATTTGGGCAATCCTAGTCAGCGTTACATAACATTGTCAGAATTAATCTGAGGATATAGGTTTTGCTGAAAGACTGGAATTGAGTGTAAGCAATTACAGCTATGTTAAAAACTGATGACGTCTTCTTTACCTCATATTTATGGCTCTTCAACATGACGTTTTCAAACATAATTTATACAATTTACAGAAGCTTAAAAAGGGACTATTTTTTTAAAGCAGTAGCGACTTTGTAGCGTCTTGGACGGTTGCTTAGCAACCTCTAAGTGTCCTCCTCCCTTTACAACAAGGCTCCTTTTGAGGAGGAAAATGCTAATGTCCTTTGTTTATTGCCTTTGATTATTGACGATAACGACAATGGCTGGGACTACGGTTTGAAGTTTGAAAAAAACTGGGTCAGTTTTACCTCCACAATGCTGCCCAACGTGAGACAGCGTCGCCATTTTTGGTGACTCGTCCACAGGCCCATCCCCCTGATGCACCCTCCGCGGGAAGCAGTCCCACTTTCATTCACCTCGGTGGGCAGAGACTGGCCGCGTGCGAGAGAGATGGCTTCGCCGAGGACAATAACTATCGTGGCCCTTTCTTTCGCTCTTGGTTTATTTTTTGTCTTCATGGGGACGATTAAGCTCACCCCGAGACTCAGCAAAGATGCCTACAGCGAAATGGTGAGTGGAGCTGAAGGGACCGCATCCTTTTGGGGTGAAGGCCATTGTTCCGAGCTGGCTGCCTGCGCGAGCGCTCAGATAATGTATGGAGACGGTGACCTAAATGATAAAAGAAATGGGGAAAAAACGTATTTCTGTCTCGCAGTCGTCCTCTCTGTATAAATCAAATCTAGAATAACCACAGTTATCCCCAGGGAGAATTTCGGGAGGTTATATTTGACATATTGAAGCTAAGCAGCACTTCGGCTAGGCATTGGGTGAATTCAGCCTCAGAATCTATCCAGTTTGACATGGATTGCATCCAACAATAACGGTGAAGGCACACAGCTGTCCTAAATCTGCTAATTTAGCTTGTTAACGCCGAAGCGAGACGGAAAAAGCTTCTTATTATGTTTTAAACACGCTGTAATTCAGCCCACAGATGCGGATACGTGTGCAGGGCATCTACAGCTGTGGGGACAAATGCTGTCATCCCCCATTAAACGCGTTGTAGCTGCAAAGCTTCACGTTTTACATGAAGAAGTTAGCAGCTGAAGAGCAATGGCGGCGCGTTCGAGCAATTTCTGTGAGATGCACCTGCAGGTGCTGATGTTGACACATCCTGTGAAAGGGCCATGATGGATGAGAGGCTGGTTAGTGTAATTCAAAATACAGACCAATAGGCTCTCTTTAAGCCGTATAGGGAAGTATGTTTAACAAAAGGTCAGTAATGGCTTTTGAAAGCAGTGATAGTTTTCTAGATGTAGTCTAGTGTTGCGTTACCATGACCATACTCTGGTAGGAGGGCTCATGTGAGATATTTAAAACATCTTTGTGTCTTCTGTTTCAGAAAAGAGCATACAAGAGCTATGCCAAGGCGTTGCCAGGCCTGAAAAAAATTGGGATCAGCTCAGTGCTGCTTCGTAAGATCATCGGCTCCCTGGAAGTGGGCTGTGGAGTGGTGCTGACCTTAGTGCCGGGGCGGCCGAAGGACGTCGCCAACTTTCTGCTCCTGCTGGTCATGCTGGCCGTCCTGTTCTTTCACCAGCTAGTGGGCGACCCCCTCAAACGGTACGCCCACGCTCTAGTCTTTGGCATTCTGCTCACCTGCCGACTGCTGATCGCCCGCCAGAGCGATGACCGGCCCGAGCGCGAGGACAACAGAGAGGAACAGCACATCAACGATCAGGAAAAGAACAAGGTCAAGCAGTCGTAAGACCTTCCACCTCAAGCCAAGCAACACTGAAGGGAATCTGGTGCGCTGCTGTGGATTGCAGTAATCAAAATATGGAAGGGAACACACACAAGTAATAATTCCCCCTTACACACATCCTCTGTCCCGTCCAGCTGGCTGACTTGACAACTCCCACCGTCTCCTCTGTACTCCTACTGTGAAACTGAGAACTCTGACCCAAAGGTTCTCTACATAACCGTGGACAATCATATCTGTGGACACCGATGAACTCAGCCCATTGTCACATTAGTCAACCCGGTTCCCCGTTTATTTCAGTCCCACACTGTGTTCAATGGGTTTTACTCCAATACAAATGAATTTTGTTAAGAGTTGATTTGAGAATGCTGTTCATCACGAGTCTTTGTAATTTGTTTTTATACTGTAAGAGAGATTGAAAATACATGTCAAGCATGTTTAATTTAGTGCAGATCATAACCAAAATGAGTAATGTAGGAAGAATTTTATGCCAATTACACATCAGTTAGTTTTGCATATGTGTGCTATTTTGGTGCAGTGATACCATACGACTTCTTTATAGATGAAAAAAGCAAAAAATCCAGAAATGTCATTTTCAGGAAAAATGGGGATGTTCACGTTGTTTTCTTCCTAAGTAAAATGAACTGAATATCCTCCAAATCCTTTCGATTTAATTGCCACAGTTAAGTTGTTCAGATAGAGGTCAGCAGTGGCTCCTGCTAGCTTCAACAGCAGAACAGATGTATCTTATTTTTCCTGCCGATATTTGATTTTACATTCTTTTCACATTTTACGTCTTGTTCATGCTTTTGTTTTAATTTTCCTTAAGTCATATGAAAGACGTTCCTACTGTTGTTGAAAATGCTGTCAATTATTTCTGTAAACGATGTACTTAAAATAAACAACCGAAAGTGATCCTGACTAAAAGTTTTATTTTTATTTTTTATGAGCAGCTTATTAATACAGTATCGTCCCAATATGTGTGGCTAAGTTTTGGTGCATATATATATATTTATATACAAAATCTAACACTTATCTGGTTAGTAGATCAAAAGTTAGGGCATCAAATGGGTGATTGTAGACTACAAAGTCAAGACCAGAGAACTACAACTCCCTTGAATCACCCGAGCGGATGGAAGACACTGCGCAGGCGCAGGGCAAACGGTCGCGCGGATGATTTGAGTTTTGTTTGAATGAACGAAGACGAAGTTGGGCACGGTAGCTAAACATTTTTAGCAATGTAGAAATGGCAGCAACGCTTAGCCCTTCAGATTTAGACCAGTCGTCTCAAAGCGGGCACTCTGTGTCCAGTCGGAGCAGTAACCGAAGTCTGAGAGTGGCTGAAAAGGAGAGGAGAAAGAACGAGGCGGAGGACCCGTTTGTTCTGGCCCTGAAATATTTCTCTGACGGTAGGACGAACCCACTAAAGTCGACAGCTGTGTTTTGCGTTCCGTATTGTTAACCGTAACTGCAATTGTCACGTATTTAGACACAACATAAAAAGGTAAAGAGCTGAAAGTGGTGGATAGAGCGGCATGCTGAACTATTAAAAACTACAATAAACAATTTTTACCCCTCTGGTTTGATGAACTCAGGGCGTACGTAGCATCTTAGCTTAGCATAGGCGCTACAAACAATTAGCAGGAGGATCAGACACATCCGTCTATGCGAATGTGGGGATGTAGTTTGTGTCTTTGTCTTCGTCTCGGTCTCCTTTTTCTTTTAATAAACGTTAAAGATTGATTTGTCTTGGTTTCGTCGTTTGGATTTGTTGATCCTGTTTAAATCAGGCTTGAGTGCAGCATTAAAGGTAAACAAGGAAAATGAGCAGACCTTTCCTGTAAAAATACACAAGTGAACGAACATTTTTGTAGCTCTCTTAATATTTTGTTCCCTGCACTATTGTCTAGCACTTTCACAAACTGTGGTTATTACAGGGGATTCAATATTGACATTCACAAATAATAGTGCTATGTCTTTAATATTTTATTGATTCTTTCACACTTGAAAAAAGCAGATTTTAAAAGAAAGTGTAAATAATTTGCTGAGGTTTTCTCCTTAAGCTGCCCTGGATCACTGATGTTCTCTTAATTTAATTTTGATTCAGTAAAGTCAGTGATGGTTCCAGTGTGTAAAAGTCTGTCCCAGTAAAAACAGCTGTGAAAACTATTAGCCATCTATACCTTTTTTTTTCTTTCAGAGAAGTCTTCTTGGTTTAACTAAAACCAAGAACTGATGGACACCAAAAAAACAGAATATAAGTCCTGTGGATATGTTTGTTTTTCTTTAATCTAACTTAAACGAATTGTTGTAGTCATATTTCCATAGATCAGACTTGCCGCATAGGTCTTCTTTACCGTTTATTCTTTGGAGTATTTTGAAGAGTTATTTATTTTTCATTTAGAGTTAATTGAAGCCAACACTGTGTGTTATTCTTCATGTTTCCCATCCTCAGATGTGTTTATTTCACCTCTATCTCCTGTAGTTGAAGCTGGTACTCCAGTAATTGGGAACGATGAGCTGGACAGGAACCTGGTGCTGGTGGAGAAGGTGGCCTACAGCAGGGGCCTTTCCCCAGAGGCCATTTCAGTCATGCTGGAGTTTGCCATGAGCCTCCGTATGGGTATGTTGTCATTCAGTCTCCAAAAAGCCTAATGTCCTCTCAGAGGACTGAGGAGCTATTGTGGAGCTGCATAGCAATGAGGCATTAATCACTGAGCATGTGACGTAATGTCTAAGAAGTGATCAAAACAACTCTCTACTTGTATGTGTGAATGCTGTGTCCAGTTTTCAGCCAGTCTTTACATTTATTTTCAAAACTGATGTTGCTGTATGTGCAGGGAGCAGTCCGTGTGTGCGGGTGCTGAAGTGTCTGATTCCGGCCACTGTGGTGCCGCAGGAGGCTGTTGTTCGAGCAGTGGTTTGGTTAAGTGTTGGGAAAATACCCATAAGCACTCAGGTGGGTGAATGCAGTTGATACCTGTAGGTATAGAAAACGCATATGCTGTCAGTTATTTGGCGCGTGCTTCACATTGTAATCCGTGTTTTTCAGGTTCTTTTCATAAAATGGGTGCTGACGGTTTTTGACATGATCGATGCCAAGGACCAACTTCGATCTATTTATGGCTTCATCTTCAGCTTTGTCACAGAGGAAAATCTGGTAAGTGGCGACCCATCCCTGCATTTCTGCAGTATCATCTTTTTAACATCTCTAATAGATGGTATGCAGCCCTACACAATGCTGTGCTTTTTGGTGTCTTTTAACATGGTTTTGTGAATTAGTGATGGTGCCTTTGCAGAGTTTTACACTTGAAAAAAATGGTGTGTAAAACTGCACATTTGCAGGACTGGCACGAATATTTGTTTTTATCTTTGTAATGTTTCATTCCTCAACTGTAGGGGGAGACAAAGAGGCACAAATGAACCCACATCCCTCCTTACTTTATAAGAAGCTATATAAAACCTGATACTTTTTGGAAAAGTTCAAATTGTACATAAAACTCTGAAGAAACTATGAGTGTTGAATAATAGAAAAACATTACATTAGTTTCTGTGCAAATGATACATTTTTTCCTATATTTACAAAGATTTATCGTCCATGTGTCTTCAAACATCGATGCGACACACATTTGCATAAGGCTTGAAAGGAAAATCAGGCGTGTGTTACATTCAAAGTGCCTGAAGGCCAGGAGCATTCATATTTTGCATGAAACAGATTGTTAACATGTTTTGTCTCTTTCATCAGTGAAGGCCTCTACATTGATAAGCCAGGCCCTGCAGGGAGACGGGTTTTAATTCTTTCTTTGCACGTGTTTGCATGTAGCCTGCCCCTAAAATGATGTGATGTCCTCCTGTTGTGTTTTCAGTGCCCTTTTATCTGCCATCTGCTGTACCTTTTAACCAGAAAGGAAAGTGGTATGCTGAATATTTCCATTATTTCAATATCAAACATACCATGCAATTTATTACTCTGTTTCTTAATTGTTTTTTTGTTTTTTTTCAGTCCGTGTCTTCAGAGTAAGGAAGCTGCTGGAGCTTCAGTCTAAACTGGTAAATTTCCCTGTAAACAAATTTGTTCTGGAGCATTTTGTAAAAGGCTGCATTTTTGTCTAGTTTTTAAAAAAAAAGGAAATTAATGAATTGTTAACCTTTTCTTCATAGATCTTTTTTGTACATTAGCCATGTTTGTTAATGTATGTAATCTTTATGCAGTTAACATCAGATTATGCAGATTCCATTGCACAGTAGATAAGATAAGGGGTTTGAATAACTGTGAACACATAAGGAAATGCGAATTAAAATGGACATTGTATAAGTAGCAAAACAATCTCACAATATTCGGGGAGAAAAAGGGAAGTCAAATGAGGATGTGGCCAGATTCATGCAAAGACATGATAAAAAATTCATTAAAACATATCCCCATGGTTTCAGAAGGGAGATTTAAATGAGGCAAAATACATTCAAAATAGTTTCATGAAACCAAAGAGTCTGTTCCCCATCACTAGCTGCAACCCGGTAATAGCCAGTGAGCGTCTATCCACTGATATCTGTGGTCATGAGGTCAGTAAGTCTGAGATTTATTTCAGTACAAAGCCATTTAAGGCTTTAAGAGTGAGCTGTGAGATTTGACGATCAATAGGAAATCTAAAAGGAAGCCTGGGGAGAGCACAGGGGTGATGCGATCAAGCCTCTTTATCCGATAATGAATCAAAGAGAAGGGGCAGATGGTGGAAGGGGCCGTGGCAAACGGCAGAGAAAGGGCCTTCACATGTGTGGCACACGGGAAGAAATGAGCACTGTCTCTTTATAGACCAGACTTTGGTCTCGTTTGTCATACAGATGCTATCTTAAAATCCTTAAATGCCTTTAAAACAAGATAACCATCACCAGAGACAGAATTATGGCATTTTTAGAATTTTTTTTTTGTTGAAATCAAGGGAAATTTCTGCTCCGTGGAAACAGTTTGCGCTACTAACATGTCTAACTCGTTTTGGTGTTTATCTCTCATTTGCTCAGGGGAGGCAGCCTTTCCTTCTGCATCTGCTGTCTCTATACAAAGTGTTTTGTCCTGAGCTGGTGACGCTGTCCATTCCATCGCGGATGAGGGTTTGTACCCGCTGCTTGCTCATCCTCTCATCCAAACCCCTCTAACCCTAACCCCTGAAACGGCTATAGAATGAACTTTTCTTTATTTTCTTTCAGAGCGGGTTTAAGAACCACATTTCTCCGTGGAAATCAGCGCTGATCGCTGTCCAGAAGAGGAACGGTTTGCAGGTTGCGCCGAGCGTCGGTCTCACGGTCAAAGAGAAGACCGGCTCTAGGAAAAGAGTACGTTGTCCGATCCAAAAGGATTATCTCCAGTTTACTTTGGAATATTTTGTCAGCTCCTCAGCACTCTGTAGGTCTTCTGCTGGGCTTAACGCTCACTTCTCTGCATGAAGACACACAGACACTCCCACGGTGCGACATCCAAAGGAAACAAATGGGCGACTCCCATTCCAGATTATCCTGCTGGAAGTTGGACTAAAACTCTTCTTACCTGCTCGTGTTTGACAAAACATGCATTTATTCTCATTTAGTTTAAAAAACATATTTTCCTAATATTAATTTAAAATCTTACATTTGGCGGCTGGATAATGTGATTTCTATGGAAATATTTAGTCACTTTTGAAAAAAGATTATGTGCAAGAAAAATCATTGGAAGATTTGTTCATGCCAACTAGTTCTGCAATAATTTAGATGAGTTGATTGATCTGTAACTTAACACATTTCAAAGAAATATGTCTTGATTGTGTCTCTGTTAACCAACAATGAGATGATGCTCGACGTTAAAACTTAGTCCCCCCCCCCACCTCATTGTTTCTGCTCTCATAGAAACATTGCCAGCTGGAGCTGCCAGCACTGAGTTCTGTCGTCAACAAAGAGGCTCAGGCGGAGCGGAGCTCCAGCAGGAGGGTGGTGCCTCTGGTGCACATCCACTCCTTCCCTCAGCTGTTGGAAAACATTCATCGCATAGAGGTGGGAAAATTTGTTTTAAAAAAGCCATCTTTGTAGATATTGTCTTTTTGTGATAAACTCATTGTAGCTCCAGCATCTTTAACAAAAATGTTTAAATGTACTGCAAAGTTCCACCTTAGACAGGTGGTAAGTATTTATCTTTTATTCATATTATTCCCATTTTCTTTCATGTTAATATTATTGTTGTCATCATCATCAGCCTGGTGCCTAACATGCCATTATTTGTATTTAGTTTATTTACATTAACAAAATAACATTTTTGAGGTTCTAAGTTTGAAGGGGGTTTAAGGGATTTTTTTTTTCTTTGTCAATGAGAACTGACATAATGTACAAAGGGCTCAAATATTGAACCAAAAAAACGCAATGTAACTTCATTTTATGAAAGTGTAAAATCCTGTTCATTATTTGCATTTCAACATGCAACCCATGCCCAACTGTAGGTATAACAAAAGAATTAGGGGGGGTAAAGGCGGCTCTGATCCCTCCTGCTGGGGGGCCATAGAGGTCATCTGGGGGAGTGTTAATGGTCGTTAGGGGGTTCTGATGGGTCGTTGACTCCCCCGTCTAGTGGTTTCGGTCACATGCCTCTTGTGAGTCAGGTGAGGGTAGGTGAGAGGGGAATCTTCTGAGTATGGTTCCTGAAAGTGCTCTGATGAAAACTAATGAAGCCTCTTGGATCAGAGGTGAAACGTCTTCTAGAAAACAACATGTCCGGTTGCCTGACTAAACTTTCTGAGCTTGACCTGGACCTGGATGACTGAGAATCTTCCCAGATTTGCACTAAAACATTTTTTCCGGATTCTCACAGTGAATTCTGTTTTAGTTGTGATATGTAGTCACGGCCACTGGGGGGCGCTGTGTTACTGTTTTCTCTCTCAGCTCACTTACAACTTTGTAATTGTTCTGTCCGATGACAGCAAAAATCTAATTTAAACACAAAGTAGTTGTCATTTGCTTTATCATCACCTTTTTTAAATGTATAGATTTAATTTTTTAGCTGAATACTGAAGATGAAAGAGCACTGAAGAGGCACATCTCTGTAATGCATTAAACGGTTATGAAGCAAGTGGTCATTAGAAGAGAATGTCCCATAAATGCCCACTCGCCCCGCAGATTCAGTGACCTGATAAACTCATACAAGTCATTTTGAATGGCTTTAAAGTTTTATGCGTCATGGTGCATAAATTCACCTCTTTTACTGAACACAAAGCCAACGAGAACAACGAGGCTTTCAGAGGACGGTGGCACCAAATGTGTTTATTACCAAAGGAGGCAGTGAGCGCGATAAATCACCAGCATAGCATAAAACTATTCCTTCAAGTCATCGACAAAAGATCATTGATATTTTCCCCCCACCGTCGACTCTTGCTGTCAAAAGCATATCGGAGCTGTGTCAGTTTAATGAGACAGTTGCTCCATAATTATCGAAGAACTGAGTTGTGTCCATTCACAGTCTGTCTTCTTATCACTATCATTTATTTATAATACTAACACAGTCCCCATATTGAGAGGCAGCTGCTCGTGAACAGTAAGAGACCATATAAATGATTCCATGTGGTAGAAGAAAGGTCCCAGTCCAGCCATTACGAGGATTATTGGATACGGGAGAATTTGCTTTAAACTGGATCGCTTGCCCACACAATTATAAGGTCTTGAGCATCTGTTTATTTTCATTCTTCAGCAGGTAAACGGATTGATTTGAGGCATTCCCTTTGCCAAATCCCTTTTAATGCATTTTAATGGGATGTCAGACTTTGAGTGAATAGTTACTGGGCATGTTTTCTTTTTTATTTGCTTTGCCACTTTTTCTAAGCTGATGTCATTGATCAAGATTCCTAATTGACCTTTTTGCTTTCTGCTTCCTGTTTCGTCACTGTTGCCTCGACCAGCTGCCTGCTCAGATGGGCTCTCTGCTGGGCTCCAGTCTGGCGCTGCAGTACCTGGACTGTGTGCAGGAGGAGTCTGCCCTCCTCAGACTCAATTTCTGGCTAGGCTGTGCTCTTCATGAAGGTAAGGAGAGGGAGACGGGCGCTACAGAAATGCTTTAGCACCCACCGTCCGCACGAGATGCCTCCCAAACGAAGCTGACCTTGAGCTGAACTTCTCCGGCTCGTCAAAAACACTCTTTCAGAAAAGACTTTAAAGACACTGAAGGGGTTTTGCTCCGTACATCTGAAAGTTTCTCAGACCTTTTTGTCGTTTTTGTCCAGAGTTTTTGTGCAGCGATGGAGGAGCCGTCCAGAATTCAGAGGAAGCTCTCCAGTTCCTGAAGGACTTGCTGGCTGCGCAGCACTTCCTCCAGGTGACCACATCCCCTGTCCGGGGCACCGACAGCAGCCTCTGTGTTTCCCACCTGTCGCGTTGAGCTGCTTGAACTCGGAGCGGCTCAACGCCTGACCAACACTTGTTCTGTGCTATTTGACTGGAGAATTTGGGGCTCATCATGTCTTCGTCACTCTTTCTCCAACAGGAGGGGTTCTCCAGTTCTGACACTTTCCTCTACAAGTTCCTCAACATTTGGGATGGCTCTCTGCTCCGTCCGCAGGTCCTCGGCCTTCTCAGCAACATTCCAGTCGTCCCAAGTTCACGTGAGTCTTGTGCCCACAGACCTCCGCCTTCATTGGCCATCTCTTCTCACGAACACGAGCAAACGTACGCAGCTAATTTCAGGAAATGTATTTGACTGATTTACAAATTCCTTGTCTCCTGTTCAGAAATGGGCAGGCTTCTGTTTGAACCCCTCACACAGATCTTCTTCACGTCCTCCCTGTTTTTCAAGGTACTGTTTCCTTTCCCGAGGCTCACACAGGGAGCAGGTTGTACCTGCTACCGCTCTTCAATCTGCTCTAAGTCAACAGAAAAACATGCCGTTGTGTCTTTGAGTCTTGTGCTCATAGAGCACTTAGCGCTGATCCCGCGTTGGTGCAGTGTTTGATCTGTGGTCTACTTGGTGCTTTCCCCTCTGTGCGCCCACAGTGTGGACTGATGGAATCTCTGAACAATATGCTGTTGAAGTGGCTGACCTGGCACTCGGTGTACGCGCTGGAGGACGACCTGGACATCAGCCTCAACAGCCACACTTCCATGTGAGTCTCCACTTGTTTATGCCCCCAGCATAAACCTGAAAAGGGTTCTCGATCACCGAATTACCTCAACAGATTTAGGGATTTCTTTGAAACTTTTTATTTTTTTTGGGTTAGGGTTAGTAACATTCATCAGTGGTGAGAGCCACCAGGCTCCTCCATATTGTGCTTCTACTATACAACAGTTGTACATGCTGACTTTCACTATGAATTGCACTGGTCTGTTTTGGTGTCGGTTAATTCAGGCAGCGAGATATATTGACATGTTTTCCCTTTTAGTCCTGTTCCTGTTTATTCAAATCCTTTGATTGAAATTTGTTTGAAGGAGAGACGAGCATTAATACCCAGTTAAATGATTTTGCAGCTTCCAAATGAAAGGTTGCTGTTGATGTCAATTATGCTAAACACCCTGGCTTCATCACATATTGCACAGTAGAAACCTTCAGGAAGTAGATGGATCCATTCTTATTCGGTGCCATTTAGAAAGTTATCCCTTTTTCAAGGCTGTTAAGAAGTGATTGATCACTGATTATGTTTGTGGACACTTTCCAAGCATTATTCTTGATTCAGTGTTTGTCCTTTTCGACTGTAGTAAACAGCTCATGTGACTTGGGCGGGTGTTTTTTATTTTTTGAATAAGTTGACAGCAGTCTGAATGGTCTCTGTTTGGAAGGACTTCTGACGGATGGGTAAAGCTAAGACCTCCTCTGAAGAGGGCAGCAAAAGAATGATTTATGTGCTCTGAAAACAACTCAAACCTCAAAGATTTTATACAAAACAACAAAAATCACTATATGTAGTGTTTGCTATAGCTACTTGGGAATTCTTTTGAGTTGCTTGAGGTGGGAAAAAAATGTACTTTTCTGAGTCCTTGACCAGTTTTGCCTTCATAAGCTTCCTTTGTTCTGCAAACCGAGAGCACAGTCTGGGGTCAGCTCTCAGACAGGGCTCTGCGCTCCACATTTCAGGTCCACTACACAGCAAACGAATGATCTGGTAACTGCAAAGAAAAAACCACAAGGGATGATGTGCATCTTCTTTAAAAGACAGCCATGTGAATGTGTATATTTACACAGTGGATTCCCACTAAAGCTGCTACCGTTCACAGATTTTATGGTTTCTTCTGTCAGCCAAATGCTGATTAAAAAAATTAGTTCATTAGACGCCCTGCTGGCCTCAATCACGTCCAGGCTGTTGATCAGCTCAAATGAAATACTTTTTTATAAATATAACTGCAATTTTATCTGGTAAAACACCCACTTCTGTATCTTAGAGGTGTTCAGGGGAAACCATGTGGATGATGATCTCTGGAAGCAGACGAATGTCTTTGAAAGTTTCTCACAGTCAACAACCACGTGGTGTCATTCAGCAAATCACCTCTCCCTCCCGCGTGTCACTTTTTGGGATGTAGTCGCACGGAGAACAGGAACATCCCTTTAACTTTGCATCAGTTCTGTTGTACAGGCATTCTTTCTAAACGTTTTGTGTGTTGGTGTGTGTGCGTGCGTGCGTCTGCCTGCTCTCCTCTTCTCCCAGAAACATAACCCTGTCGGGGTTTAAGGACTCTGTGATGGAGCTGGTTCACTTTGTGGGCCGGCTGGCCTCGGTGGGACTTCAGCTCGAAGGCTGCCACTCTCTCCTGCTCAGCTTCGTCCTGGACTTCTATGAGACCGTAAGTGAGCTGCAGCTGCGGGCCGAGTGCCTAACTCAAATGGGTTTTTCATTACCCTGGATTCCATTCAGCGTCCCAGCTCCCTGTGCAGCAAAATTCATGCACGTTGTTTCTGGTCAAGTTCACCTGACTGCTTAGATCATAGAATAACGTTTCTGTAAGGCACAGGCCCAGATTGTGAAATTAGATTAAATAACCAGAAAATGGGGAAGTATCATGACGGCAGTCCCCTGTAATTTTGCCAGCTTCTCTGCGATCCACCTGTAAGCTTTTACACCCGACTTGACTTGAAAGGAAGGCTCTTGTTGGCTTATTCACCGATTGAACATGGGCATGATTTTGGAAGCATAACCAGTCGTTCTCAGTCCTGACCAGGATGCCAAAAAGAAAGCCCCAGTGGTTCTGTGCCACGTGCATGTCCAACGTGGAGTGTCGGCCTTTCCTCTCTTTACGGCGTGTGACTCTTCAACACGTTTTTCTCCGCTCCCTCAGGTGTGCGACACCTTCCTGAAGTTCGGCCTTCCCCTGGTGGTGATGCCTCCACCTGGAGTGTTCTACCCTGCCCTGCTGGCCACAGACCCTGCCAGTGTGGACAGGCTGGCCTACATCATGCACAGGTAGGGACTCCGTTAGCCACATGACATGCATGTGTGAAGGAGTGAACAGCGGTAGAATTGGATTTTCCTTTGCATTTCTCTGCTAATCTATTATTTTTGCCAATGAGAGGCTGATATGTTGGATACTCTGCCTCCTCTGCTTTTTAATGTTCATTTGTAACAGAGTTTTATTTCATGTTGCTGATTAATTGATGAAGCCCAGGTCCTCAAATCATTTAAGTAAAGTGGAATGCAAAAATACCACGACTAAAGAAAATTGGGTCGTAATTGGATCAGGTTTTGCTGACAGACTTCAGGGACTAAGCGATTAAAGATCAAAGGTGACTGTTTCTTTGTTCTTCGTCAGGTACAAAGTGAACCTGACATCAGCCAAGAGTCAAGAGAAGCTGACAGAGGTGAGTCTGTTGTTTCAGTTTACCACACAACCCGCTATGGGGTTTTCGGATCTCATGTGGGCGACGCGACTCTCAGGAACACAAATGTCAGCTCCGATGGTCTCCAGCAGGAAAACGTGTCGTTTGTGCTCACTTTTGTTTGACAGAGCCTTTTAATTTACTTTGGTGGTTCTTTTATATTCGGTCCAGCTCTTTGGGAATCCGCAAGCATCTGCCTAAACCCGATAACTTTAATCTCCTCTCAGATGAGGATTTAAGAATATGTTTATTTTAATACAGCTGCTCCCGCGAGCTCTGACCTCATGAGCACATGTCAGGTAGGTGGTATGCCTCCTGAAAATGCCAGGGGCTCCTTTAATTAAGAAAAACCCACTCGGTAAATGACATGCAAATGAATCATGACAAGAATTATTTGATGTGAGAGACTTGGACCAAACTCCCTCCCCCCCCTTCTGATCCTCAGCAGGCCTTCCACATCAGCCGGCAGACGTTCCGGGAGTTTAACCACTACGTGGTGGTCATGGTCAACTGTCTGTGGAACTCCAAGATGTTTCAGCCGGGTGTGGACGTCCAGCTGGGCGAGGAGCTGCTTCTCAGGAGCAAAGTTCCACAGCACTGGTGCCGCTTCGACCTCATCCACCACCCGGCCTTCATGAACTACGCCGTGGACTTTCACCAAAGGGTGAGGGCGCCGCATTTCAGCCACCAATTAGATTTGTCCCGTCAAGGGAATTCTTCTTGCTTATTTATTATTATCTTGGCTTATTTAACTGAGCCCGGCAGTCCATGTGCAGTTTGCTTCAGAGACCCAGAGACCAGACCAATCAGTATTAATGTATCCTTCACAGATGATGCATTAATACAGCAGGATATTTTATTATTAATGGCAGCTAAGTTAGATGTGGTTTAATAATACAGGTTCCTTTTTTTGGTTCAGACCACCTGCAGCACGTGATCATGTGAGATCTCCCGTGTTTTATTCTGACAGTGATTATTAATGTTCTCTCTCCATCAGTGCTGGCCGGACAGAAAGGACATGGACCTCAGTTCCATAAAGGTTCGAGGCGTCTCTTTCCCATCTCTGAATTCATAGTAGCCTTCACATGCAGTACGGGGAAGCTAAATCCTCTGAAATGGTTCTGATCTGTGTGTTTGTGTGTCTGTTTCAGCACTCCAAGCCATGGAGCTGGTACCTGGAGTATCTGTTCACGCAGGGCTTCGACGGCCTTAGAGACTTTGTTCAGAGTAACATCAGCCGGCAGGTGATAGCAGGAGACGGACAGGGCGACTCGCAGCCGAGATAGAAGATCTGAAGGAAAACAACCATCCGGGACGTTACATGTATATTTTTAAAAAGACTTGTACAGTTTTCTCTACTTGCAAGTTAATCTTTTAGTGTACATACCTTTTTTTTTAAAAGATGCTAACGCACTTTGAGCTGCTTGTGTTGCATGAACATTGCCATGTAAATAGTATCAATAATAAATGTGCTGATGATGACGAGCTCGTCTGGGTTGGTGTAACATTGAAATGAATTCCGTCTGAAACCCTTATGTTGTTGGAGGTGAGAAGCCCTTCTCTCCCTTATTACAGAGTCCTTAATGTTAATAGACTGTGACAGTAAATGCGCATTTCAACAAGCATGATTAAGCTACATGGATTGTGCAAAAGGAAACGACACTACATCATCCTGAATACCCTGTGTGAGCAAAACAAACGGAGTCATGTAAATAAGCCATCAATCGACCAGACGGCAAAATTCCTTAACACAAACATGAAGGAATAAAGAGGAAGTAAAACCATATGTCTAGGTAAAGTTAAAAAGTTCTATATGCCTATTTGTTTTTTATTCCATTGTTACTGTCCTCCATGGCGAATGACTGAATTACACCAGCTGGACCCTTAATAAAAAACAACTTACCCCTAAATGCCTGCAAAATGTGAGTTTCTTTTTAAAGATGGCTAATTTAGTCAAAGGCTGATAATAAAATCAGCTTGTGTTTGCTGATGGTGGCTTAAGGATTCCCAGCCTGTTGCTCCGCTCTAATAAGATCTTCATATTTCTGGTCATGTTGTCAATCAAATAAAAAATCACCTTTTAGGTAACTTCAACACAATCTGAGCAGAACATCTTATCACATTCTCTGTGAGGCCACGTGCTTAGCTCTGGTTTGTTGTTCGCCATGTCTCACGGGGAGATGAAGATGATCGATGGCACAATGAATTTAATTATCAGAATCGATTAAGCTGACACCTGTTATTGATTGAGTGTCTGAGGACCTAGTGTGAGCTGAAAAGCTTTTTCCAACCAACGCTTAAGAAACAGATACCAATCCTCACAGTTCAAGTTAATCTAAACCAATTATCTGCATCGTTATTGAGTAACCAGCTCGATTATAATCAAAATATTGTTTTGCATAGTTTTTAACACTGCGGGGGTCCTTTGTGGATGAACGCGCATGCTGTAGTGTGAAAAAAATCCCACTTAACTACAATAATGGCATTGATCCTGAGGAGGAGCAGATCTGAATGTTTGTTCGTCAGGACTTGTTGCAGCTTTAGTGATC